GTTTGGGCGCAATGCCATCGGCGGCAGATACGGCCGGTTCTATGTGGTCACTGATCCCGGCGACGATGACCCCGTGAACCCCCGGCCGGGCACTCTCCGGCACGCCGTTATCCAGGACAGGCCGCTCTGGATTGTGTTCAAGCGGGACATGGTGATAACGTTGAAGCAGGAGCTGATCATGAACAGCTTCAAGACCATTGATGCCCGGGGAACCAATGTCCATATTGCCAATGGGGCCTGCATTACCATCCAGTTTGTCACCAATATCATCATCCATGGCCTCCACATCCATGACTGCAAGCCCACCGGAAACGCCATGGTCAGAAGCTCCCCGTCCCATTACGGTTGGAGGACTATGGCGGATGGCGATGGCGTCTCCATCTTCGGCTCGAGCCATATATGGATTGACCACAACTCGCTCTCTCACTGTGCTGATGGCCTTGTGGATGCTGTCATGGGCTCCACTGCCATTACTATCTCCAACAATCATTTTGCTCACCACAATGAGGTTTGATTAATTTGGTTGATTCTTAATTCCATTGTCCTGTTTAACTTACTAATGGGAAATTAAAAACAGGTGATGTTGTTGGGTCATAGTGACTCTTACACAAGAGACAAGCAAATGCAGGTGACAATTGCCTATAACCACTTTGGGAATGGGCTCATACAGAGAATGCCAAGGTTAATTAATTCACAGTTTTATTTCAGATTTTGTCACATTAGCTTAAACAAATTAAAATGAATGGGTTTTCAAACAAAAAATTAAAATGAATGTTGTGGAAAAATTGCAGGTGCAGACATGGTTACTTCCATGTGGTGAACAATGACTACACTCACTGGGAAATGTATGCCATTGGTGGAAGTGCTAACCCTACCATCAACAGCCAAGGAAACCGATACCTCGCTCCAGCCAATCCTTTTGCCAAGGAGGTATGTATAATAATAAATTTATAAACATAAATGTGCAATCCAACTATCAGCTTAGCTTTTTAGTTCAGACAGAACACATCTACATCCAGGAGCAAGCTGAATACTTAATATATTTATGCAATCCAACTATCAGCTTAGACTTTTAGTTATTTGGTGGACTTGAAACAGGTGACAAAGAGAGTTGACACTGCCCAGAATCAATGGAAGGGGTGGAACTGGAGATCGGAGGGAGACTTAATGCTTAACGGCGCATATTTCACCCCATCTGGAGCTGGTGCCTCGGCCAACTACGCCAGAGCTTCGAGCTTGGGTGCCAAGTCCTCGTCTATGGTTGGCATGATGACTTCGAGTGCCGGTCCCCTGGCTTGCCGCAAGGCCCGCACATGCTAGCTAGCTTCCTTATCCTACTCCACTCTCAATTTTCCCTATAAAACTACATAGAATCATTGTTTTTGTTTGTCAGTTACTCTCTAAAGTCCTCCATCCTGGTAAATGTACATTTGTTTCCTTATTATTATTGTCTCTCAAAGGTTGTTCAACCTCGGCCAAGAAGGCGCAGAAGCGTTGTCCATTGCGGCTCGGCTTCAGCTTCATCTCATCATCATATCCCATCCATTGCCCTAACCACCACCATTGCTTTATCTTCTCGCAGGTTTACATTTTTACTTTTTCGAGTCACACAAGTTATATATAGTGTTGTCAATGTCACAAAAAAAGAAGGAAAACATATTAAAAGTCTCCTTTGTCTCCCCCCCCCCCCCCCCCCCCCCCCTTTTTTTTCGCTTTCTTCTCCTTTGTAATTGTCGATGGAAACATTAATTGTCCTTGGGGGCTGTGGATTGTGCTAATATCATATATTTTATATATATAAATACTTTTCTTGTTCATGATTTACTTTTGCATTTATGGACTCTGGTAATTGCTATGATGGTTGCATATGGAAGAACAGTGCGGCTAGCTAACATAGTTTTTCTCAATGATGGTTGTATATGTTGTCAATGAGATTATTATTATTTTTAAAAAAAATAATTATGACTCTGGTAATATATGTTCTATACTTTTCAAACATTTTCAACCTAAAAAATCTAAATCTTTACCACTGATTCGAACCCATTTATAATGGAAACATGATATTATCACACTACATGGTAGTTGGCAATGAGATTATTATTTATTACCACCTAATTACCATCATGGATTTTTTTAAAGGCTATATTATCTAAAATCCAATTCCATAGTGATGGTTTGTATATATTCAAAATTTGTTCCATAGTGATGATAATCAAAACTCAGCAGCTTAAAGCAATTGGTAAGCGAATTATTAATATAAATGTAAAGTCAGAAGTTCATGTAAGAGTCAAACTCTACAAAAGCGATTTGAGCTGAATCAAGATTAGTCTATAGAGGTGAGAATATTAGAAACTATATGCAAAAGTTTAGTGATCGAGATATGAATATACAAATAAAATTGAAATTAATTGTGTGTTGACAAAGTAATGTTGTGGTTACATATGATTAGGGATGGCAATGGGTCGGGTGTGGGTTGGGGAGGGCTACATCCATCACCCGACCCACCTTATATTTTCTCCACCCACCCCCACCTCCAACTCGCATCGGGTGGACTTTTTCAGAACCCACCCCCACCCTCACCGGGTGCGGGTGCCCACTACGGGTACCCACCACTTATCATCTTATTATGTTTTTCAAAAAATAATATTTAAATTATTTACACATAATAAAAAAATAAAATCCATTAGTGATACTAAAACATAAATAATGGAAATATTTAAATATAATAACTAAATTGTTAATTTTTAAAAATAAACTTAGTAGTTTTGATATAAAAAATAGTAAAAAGATACACGGAGTTATATAAACTATTATAAATAACTACATACTAGTATTTATTTTACTATTATATATATATATACACACACACATGGTGGGTCGGGTGGGGTTCTAGACGGGTCTTGTACATAGAACCCGAATCTAACCCGACCCACCCCCGACCCACCACCCACCATCACTCAAAAAAACCCGATCCATGCGAAGTGGATTTGGATGGATATCCACGGGTCGGATTGAAATTGCCATCCCTACATATGATCCTCTCATTTCAACCATGGTAATTCACTAATTCAGTACAAGGTTGGTGAGATTCTCAATGAAAGAGCATACTAGGCAGCATAGTAAAGAAAAGTAAAGTGAAGTGAATTTACATCATTTCTCAAGAGGCAATCAAGGATTCATGAAAAGGGAAATAGACTACATTCCAAAATTACACCTTCTAGTGGGAACATTAAATGACCACATATATATACATGTCCTTGAATTGGCCTCCAATAAATTAGAGTTTACCTTCTACTATCTATCAAGTCACATGAATTGTTGAGTATGAATAATAATAATAATAAGAAGAAGAAGAAGAAGAAGAAGAATAAGAATAGCTTGTTGGAGGTGGAGTACATTACACATATCATGTGATAATAGATGTCCGCATGGACAGCTCAGTTGATCACATGGGTGAAGTTTGAGAATAATGATTCGGGCCGGATCGAGTCTCACCAGTCACAGTGTGAGAGCAACTTTTCAAAGTGAGGGGGGTATGTTCAGCTGAGTTACCATGATTTACATCATCTCAAATACTCTGTCGGACTGGGACGTGGGGCCCTTGAAATTAGGGATTCAATTTTTGGAGCAACATTGATAATAAATGGAAATGAAGGCATGCAATGCATGTGGGATGGACCCTTGGCTAGCTTGTCTAATATGAGAGCTTTTATATATTCTTTATTTGAAATGATTGTAAAGGTAGGGGATTATAATATTATTGTAGCTTTTAATAGATGAGAGATATGCCACAAGTTCCATCTTTAGTGGGCATCACACATGCAAATGATGCAATGTGACTTAAGTTGGCAGTCTTCATTTTATCAGCTCCAGCTTGCTCTGCTCTGCTCTGTGCTGTCAATTGTTTTCTTCAGGATACTATCCCTAGTTACTTCCAAAGATTTTATCTATTTTAAAGCCATGTTCAAATTTTAATTTTGTTGATTTTTAATTGGAATTCTTGTTTATTATAAATACAAAGGAACCATAGTTTTATTTTAATTGTTTTTTAAAACGTCACCGTCATGTTGGCATAGTTCAATTTATCATTTACCTGATTGTTATTTGGACTGAATTGGACTAGTTCGATTAAAATACGGATCAGACTAAACAATAAAATAAAATAAAATAATTCTTGACTCAATTTGATCCCACAATAATTTGCATGTTTCAATTATCGAGCCAGACTAACTTAATCTATGTACAAAATTTGATGGTTTGTCCAAATCTATATACAGGCTAGACTAAGCTCTAGTATAGTACTATAGAATTCGAATCAGATCAAACTAGTCATCTTGGTCCATTGATACAATATTCTTATATTTTATCTTTCTTACTTTTTAATACACAACTTTAATTTTATTTTTTCTTTCTTTCTTTTTGAGTGAAGAAATGAGCTACATACCCTACTGGCCTATCTTTCCTTTCTCCTTACATAGCTTTGTCTAGACTTAGACTCCATTATTTGGCACTTTAATCTACAAACACTATCTCCAGTGGAGTTTGCTCAGTTTTTTAGGAGATTTTTAATGAAGCGGAGGATAGAAAATAAGGAGAGAGAATGTATTGAGTCTTCCTGCAAGCATTTGATTTTTTGAGTCGGACGCATTAAATGCTTCTTTTTTTTTTTTTCATTTTTGCGTCATATAAGCTTTTTCCTCCCTTTTTCTCTCTTTTTTCTTCTTCTCTCTCTCTTAATTGGCACCTCAAAAGCCAAAAAAAAAAAAAAAAAAAAAAAAAAAAAAAAAAAAAAAAAAAAAACCCTACTCCTATTGAGGCATGCATCTCTGATTGCTTGTTTTTTGAGTTTAGAAAACCCCAATTACATTTTCCCTATTAGTTCAAAAGCATACTAGTACTTAAATACCTTCCCCTTTCGAAATTTTTGTTTTTTGATATATAAAAATTAGTCATGAACTCTCATACATAAAGTTTTAGGCCATTGCCACCAACTACAAGACTATAGTGACCCTTATTATACCAGAAGTTCAAAGAAACAAAGGAATATAAGCATTACCTCAAGCAAAAAATCACAATCAAAATGTCAAACATTGGCCAGCAGCAAATCTTTCTTCTTTAAAAAAAAAAATAAAAAATAAAAAAAAAATCTAAAGAGGAAATTCAACAAATATAGTATATTTCAATAACAAATGTGGGCATTGAAGCCATCAATTTTTACATTTGCATCCATTCATCAACAAAAAAAACATAAAAACCAAAGCTCTCAGTTTCCTGTCCAGCACCTCCCTCTGCCAATGATACCAGTAGGTTTACTCTAAACAGGAACACATCTGAAGCTGCTAGGCTATTCCGGTTAAGAGCCATGAGACTACCTTGTATTGACAGTTCCAGGGTTAATCTTACTTACAACTTCACTGGCTTACCAACGCAAAAGTGTTATGTCTTCATTCAAATTCAGTGTGCATGTAAATACAAGTGCTCGAGTGGCGGTATAATTCACTGCTGCCTTCTTGCATACACCACCACCACCACAATCTGGTATATAATGCCACCATTAACAAAATTCAGTGTGCATGTAAATACAAGTGCTCGAGTGGTAATATAATTCACTGCTGCCTTCTTGTTGCATATGCTGCCGCCGCCACAATCTGGTATATAATGCCACCATTAACAAAATTCTAATCAAGACACAATCTCTAAAGCAAGTTAGAACACAATAACCATTTCTCCACATCTCCTATGAACTTTCACTCCCAACTATTAGCAATCACCGCCTTTGAAGTTTTAAACTGTGCCTTGTGTCAGGATAACTTTCTTCCTATTCTTTCTCTCACACCCCAATTTTCAAATGGATAATAGATTAATAGAATATGGATCTGCATGGTTGTTCTTCCAATAAAAGTGAAACTCGACTCAAGCCATAGGGTTAGTCACATGGGTTTTACTTCTTCATTCAATTCTTTAACCGGGGCGTTTGGTTGGAAGGAAGGAATTAGAGGAGAAAGGAATTGTAATTCGGTGGGGAAAGAATAATGCGGGAATAAAGTAGGAATTCAAATTACGTTGTTTGGTAGGGAGAAATAGAATTATTGGAATTGAGAAGGAAATAAATGGTATAAAGACTAAAATACCCTTGTGTAATAATAATAGTAATAACAATCAAGGGTAGTAATGTCATTTCATATGTTTTTCCTTTCTCAAATTCATTGAATTGCAATTCATGGGGGTACCCCATGAATTGCAATTCAACAAAAGGAGGGAATTGCAATTCCCTCCAACCAAACAATGTAATTGAAGCATCCACTGAATTGCAATTCAACTACAGCTAAATTACAGTGAACCAAACGCCTTGTAAGTGTCATGGTGGTGTTCCTCAAAGAATTATGGAGTACAAATGCAATGGGGATTAGTTGTGGATTTCAAATATCAAATGATGAATTATAATAGTAGTAAGGAATGGGTAAAAAACAGAATTATGCTTGCAAGAACAACCAATGAAAACATAATAATGAAACAGTAAAAGCAAGTGCACACCCCTCTGAAAGAAACAAATATGGGTAATAATGAAGATGGTGTCCCTCTGAAAGAGAAATAAATCTCTGTAATTTTGTTTTCCATTTTTTATTGAGAGAAAGAAATAAGAAAAAACAGAGGGACAAGAGGTCCCCTAAGAATTCAACAAAGAGGGGCAAAAAAGGAAATACAAAAAATGGCCTACTCTAGTTCTAGCTCATCAATCACTTCATAGATCAGACAAAACATACCCCCAAAACACCGAGGGCCCTTTTGCAATTAAAAGCTGTTAATTCATTGAGAATGAACCATCTTGGTACTGAAGAAGGGTTACCACCTGAATCTAGAGTACTTTCTAGTTTCTATTCAATAATACATCAGGATGTAAAGATGAAATAGGAATGATGAAGTCTGGCAGTACTTATGACTTATAATAAACAAATGAAAGAACTCTGCGGTAAAGGATAAGGTCTCCAATCAAGAGAAGGATATGGGACTGTAAAAGGTGCAATAATAAAAAATTAACAATCAAAAATTTTAAAAATAAAATAAAATAAAGAGTTCTATCACTCTATGATAAGAACATTCTCTTAGTTTAGTAGTTGTTCCCCTTCATTTGGCCAAGTTCTGAAGAAGGCTCATGTTGAACCCTAATAGCATTAAGAGGGTGGATGAAAACAATGGGAAAAAGGACTTTGTTTTCCATTTTCTTTCTTTCAGATTGGTTGAGCTTTAAAGTATGCAAAAACAATACAAAATTGGCATACTTCAATAATTGAACTAGAGCACATCTATTTTCCAAAATAAACTAAATTCTACGAAACAAAATTATGCACTGACCTGAATTAAAGTTAGACAGTGAGCAGCTACGATTATTCTTGATGCAAGCATTGAGCTGAACCTACAGAGTCAAGCCAGTTCTTAGCCTAAACATAATAACAAAATAAAGCCAGGCATAGGACTAGAAAGGAAAGATCAAATTATAGAGGATTTACATTGACTCATCAAGAGAATAAATCTGCAGTTCATGCTGAAACTGGATATCTGGTTGGCGATTTGCAGTCCCCATGGTGACACGATGAACAAGGCCATGAAAACCATGATCAGTTTCCATGTTAGGCAGCACACATGCAACACAGACTGCCAAAAATCTCCCCCACATGGTGAAAAATGTGCACCCATCCCACTGGAAAAGCATGAAATTCCAAAGGTAGACATTAGTTTGGATGAAGGCACGCAGCATGCAGTGTTTTCTTTGACAGGTCATTAGCAATAGCTTCAAAAACTTTTTAAGATAGGTATGTCAACTAACAATAACAACAACAACAATAATTATACTCTGTAATAATATCAACATGTGACAACAGTACAAATAATACATACCTACAAATTACAGCATGTGGTATTGTTAAGCAGCATTTATCAGCATCAAGAGGTGCACAAGAAGCTCTAATGTCATGCAATCATATTTTAAGCTTCATAGTGCAAGGAAACTCTGCAGCTGCTGCTGCTGCAGCAAGTGAAGTAGCAATCGCGGATGGACACGGCTCATAGCAGGTTGAGGGTCCATCACATCATATGAAACTAGGAATGTAGGATGTCAACCTAATAAGAGCTAGCACTCATTCTTGGTTACCCACTACTGAAGGCTGTGGCAACCAATCAATCAAAGAAGTATTAAGTAACTTCATCTAAACCTGGTCCAAGAGCTAGCACTCATTCTTGGTTGCCCACTACTGATGGCTGTGTCAACCAATCAATCAAAGAAGTATAAGTAACTTCATCCAAACCTGGTCCAGCAACAGACATATGATCACACAATCCAAAAACAGTTTCTATTTTCCCTTCCTTGTAAAACCCCTTTGATAAAACATTGTAAGTGACAGAATCTGGAGTAATTCCCTTTTTTACCATCTCAGCAAGACTCCTTGTAGCTTCCTTAATCTTGCCAGATCTACAGTATCCATCAATAATGATTGTGTAAGTGATCTTATTGGGCTGTAGATTCCACGAATACATTTCCTCCAAGACACTCCTAGCTTTATCCATCTGGCCTAACTTACAATAACCACCTATTAGGGCAGTGAAACAAACAACATTAGGTGAAAGTCCTTCCTTTCTCATTTCATCAATGAGGCATCTTGCTTCCTCGAGGTGACCAATATTGCACATTCCATGAATAAGAGAAGAATAGGTGGCATCCGTTGGCAGATAACTTTTAATTCTCATCTCATCAGAAAGTTTAAGGGCTTCTGTCAGATTCCCATGTCTGCTATAAGCCCAGATAAGTGTGTTATAAACTACAGAATTTGGTGCAATTCCCTGTCTGAGCATCTCATCAAAAAAATATCTACCCTTCTCAACTAGCCCAGCTTTGCAAAACCCATTTATCAGGACCCCAAACGTATGAACATTACAGACAAGACCCATGCTCTGGCATTCATTCCAAAGCATCAAAGCTTCATCTGTCCTGTGCTTGTTGAAAAGTCCATGGAGAAGTAAATTAAATGTAGAAATGTCTGGTGCAATTCCTTGCTTAACCATTTCTTCCCTCAACTTGAATGCACCATCCAAATTTCCGTCTTTGCAACATGCACATATTAGTGTGTTATACGTAATCATATCCATTTGTAAATGTCTACCCAACATCACTTTAAGAAGCCTGAAAGCCTCCTGCATATTACCTGATTCACAAAGCCCATGAATGAGGGCATTCGAGGTCACTGTATTGGCAGTGAACCCCATATGTAGCAGTAAAAACCAAAGGTCAACAGCCTCTGAATATTTTCTATTCTTGCAAAGTCCGCCAACCAATATAGTCAATAACCCATCATTTGGCTTCAAATTTCTTAATATCATTTCCCTAGTCAAGTGCAATGCAGATTCAAAACTTGAATTTGTGCAAAGCCCAGAAATAACTGATGTAAATGAACCAAGATTAATGCAAAGACCCTCCAATAGCATCTTTTCTAAGAGCTGTTCAGCTTTATCAATTTGATTCATTTTGCAAAAACCTTTAACTAATGAGTTGCAAGTAACAGAATTTGGTACAAATCCCTGCATTAACATTTCATCTTTCACCCTGAGGGCATCATCAAGGTTGCCCGTTTTGCAGTAGCCATCAATCATCGTATTGAAGATGACCTCATTCGGCAACAGGCCATTCTGTGACATTTCCTTCAAAATACAACAGGCTTCATCGTATTTCTCAAGTTTCACAAGACAATTAATAAGCATGCTATATGTTATAACACTTGCCTTGAGACCATTGCATATCATTTCATCTTTGAGCCTAATGGCCTCTTCCAAGCTCCCATTCTTGCAAAGCCCAAGAATAAGGTTGTTATAAACAACAACATTGGGAGCAACACCCACCTCTTCCATCTTTTGAAACAACAGCTTTGCTTCCTCAACCCTCCCTCCTTTACAAAAAGCATTTATAGCAATGCTAAACATGTAGACATCTGGTATAACACTGCGGATCAAAATATCAAAAACCTGGTAACTCTTCTGAAGTTCATTTGCCTTCACAAGAGAGCTCAACAGAAAATTACAAGTCTTTAATGATGGAAACAAACCCTTACTTGCTAAGATCTGAAAGACATCCAATGCAATATCAAATCCTGCACTCTTGAATTGAGTACAACAAACATGAATTAATAAATCATATATCCTGACAGCAGTATGCGTTTCCAGAACACCATTTAAATCAACTAAGGTAGCAGCAACCTCAACGTGTTTATTATCAGGGTTAACAAACAATGCAGGAGATTTCCCATCGATCAATCTTATCAAAAGCAATCTAGCGGGCGTTTCCAGGTCCGAAGCCACAAGCAAACGAAGCAAATTGCAATAAGATCTAACACAGAACCGAAATCCAAAAGAACCGGACGCAATGTGGAAGAACTTAAGAGCAGTCAATGGGATTAGAGAGGAAGGAGACAGATCAGAAAATAAGGAATCAAACTGATCAGGTGTCAATTGGATTATCAGTTCTTTACACTTGGAGTATTCCAAACGGCGGCTGGAGAGCAGCGAAGTAAGCCACCGCTGGTCCACCAACCGCTGCGTCCCCGTCGGCGGCTTTGAATTAACCGTTCTCTTCGGCCTCGACGGCGACGGCGCCGGAGCTGCGGAGTCCGAAGCCGTAGATATGACGCAAGCTAGAGAGCGCTTGATTGGCAACAATAGTGCAGTGGTTCCGGGGGTTTTCGCCCTTCGTATGTCCATCTACTACTGCGTGCAAAATATATCTGTATTGTATGTATATATCTATCTAATCAAGACATATACGTACATGTATGTATGTGTATATGGTTATGGGAAGAAGATGGAGGTTTCAGAGAGCGATAGATGATGGTGTTAGGGAAGCCATTAGTTTGGGCAGCTATTGAACGGAGAAGAAATGGCCACGAGAATGGGGTTTTGAGAGTTTTGGTCTAATGGCGGCCCTCCAACGGCCTATTTTCGGCTTCCTAGCTTAGACTTCGCCGGAAGAACAGGGGTTTTCAGTTGGGGTAAGAAATGACGGCAAATTTCACAACTTTGGGCTTATATTCACGACAGATCTAGCCCAATAGCCCAACATCTGCTTATACAATCATTATTGTATGAACCATGGTCCACACAAGTTGTGAGGACCATATTTTGTCTACGGTAAAATAATGTACACTCAGTATAAAAATAATGTACATTAAGTACAAAAATAATGTACATTGTATTCAGGGGATGTACATTATTTTTGTTCTGAGTGTACATTATATTGTTTAATGTACATTCAGTACAAACATTATGTACATTTAGTATATTAAAAATGTACTTTTTGTTATGGTCCACATAACATTGTGTGGACCATGGTCCACACAATAATTTGCCCTGCTTATATTGTGCTACTTAGTTTTTGGCAAGTTTACTATAGACGAGAGTCCAAAACAATGTCATTTTTTTATGCGCGGTTTTGGTTCACGGATTAGGCCTGGAATGACATAACATTTCCAGGCATCAATCGTTATATCCTACACCACGGCGCACATAGCACTGTGCGCCGCGCGCCTCCCAAAACGACGTCGTTTTGGGGTAGTGTTGGGAGGCGCGGTAGGAAGTTGCTGAGATTATGTGTATTTGTTCACAACGTTATATGTATTTGTTCACAACGTTATGTGTATTGGTTCATACAATTATGTGTATTTTTTATACAATTATGTACATTCTTTTTATACAATTATGTACATTCGAATCAGAAAATTTGTGTGTATTATGTTAATAGTTGATGTGTATTATGTTAAAAGTTTATGTTTATTATGTATTATGTTAGATTATGTGTATTATCTTTTAAAAAGAGTATGTATATTTTGTTATATAATTATGTACATTCATGTATAACATTATGTGTATTCTAGTATAACATTATGTACATTCTTGAACAGCGGGTTTTTTTTTTTTTAAGAAAAAACTACTGCCATTCACTGGGGCGGGAAATTTCAAAAAAAAAAAAAATTAAAACAACGTCGTTTTACATCTAGGTGCATAGTGCAACGCGCGCCGTGGTGTAGGATATAAATTGCCCCCAACATCTGCTTATATTGTGCTACTTAGTTTTTGGCAAGTTTACTATAGACGAGAGTCCAAAACAATGTCATTTTTTTTATGCGCGGTTTGGTTCACGGATTAGGCCTGAAATGACATAACATTTCCAAGCATATTCTTCTGTTTGGTAATCACTTGTATTTCCAGGAATATTGTTCTCGGGAATGATTTATTCCCCTTGCAAGGAAAATAGAGATTCCTGGGGCCCCTTGTATTAGGGTATTCTTGAGTTCTCGGGGATAGCCTAAAGTTTATATTTCTTATTTTAACCCCCAATTAAATTTATTTCATATTTCACCACCACCACCGTTGTCACTGCCGCCGTCATCGCCACGGCCGCTACCACCACCACCCTAACACCGCCACCACCATCCCCACCACCGCTACCATCGCCATCGTTATCGCCGCCACCAGCAGCACCACCGCCACCGCCAATCACCGCCACAACCGCCTCCGCCGCCACCACCAACGCCACTGCCACCACCACCCTCACATATTTTTATAAGGGTATTTATGTCTTTTAAAACATATTTCATTTCTATTCCTTAAATCAACCAAACACTGTAATGTAATCATAAAGTCTATTCATTCCGCGAACCAAACAATAAAATACAATTCCTATTCTATTCCTTGCATATTTCATTCCTTATGGAATATCATTACCTCAAAATTCATTCCGTGAACCAAACGTGCTGTTAATGAAAAGAAACGTCACCCGTTCTGTGTAATTAATTATGTAGTTTCATTTCAGCATAATTAAAGTTTCATTTTGTTTCAACTACAGTTTCATTTGACGTTGTACATACAGTGTCTTATTACGGTGAGACATGTTATTGAATTCTATTTTATACACAATGTAGTCTTATTACAACACCACTAAATTATCATTCTAATGAATTATATTACATGTAGGATTCTGATAAGTTATTTTTTCATGTGGATCCCAATACCAAGTGTCTACATCAAGATTTTGTGCGTGGAGTACAAGTTAAGAGTACAAAACAGGAGTACATGTAGCATTTTCCCATTCTAATTCAAATACGATTTCATTGAACAATATACATTACTATGGGATTTCCTTGAATAAAAAACTCACTTCCTAATAAAATAAGAGTTTCATTTCATTATTCCTCTCCTAATTAGTAATTTGATTTTTAAGTGTAGCTATTTACCAACCACCCCCAAATCCCCTACCAACCCACTCATTTCCACACTCAACATATAACCACATCACCATATAGTCAAATTCAAATGAACATTTGATTTAATCCCACTGAACATCAGCTGAGAAAGAAAAGCAACTCCCACAACTTAAGCTTCAGACCTTCAGTTCTTCAATTTTCAGCATCTTAATTAAAATGAAGGTACATCACAACCCGAATGTAAATGATTTCAGAATTACATTTCAAAAATCTCACAAATATTTAGTCAAAAAATTAAAGCACATTGCAGGGAGATCTGTTAAGCATCATGGGAAGTAATTCCATTGCCTTACAGTATCAATCTCGGCTTGATATACAACATTTGTAATTTCACAAAGCTCATTTGCGGGATAAAGGGTGAAGCCTTTCGTGTACAACAAAGGACAACTGGGATACATTGGACTAGGGAGAGAATCACCTCATGGACCGGCTTGTGTTTGATATACAACACCTGTAGTTTCCGAGAGCTCATATACAAGTCAAAAATGGGACTTCGCGGGGAAAGAATCATTCGCCTGAAACTGATAAATAACAAATTTGGAAGAATCTAGTCAGTGAACAATTCATTTCAAATGTTCCTCCTCCAACACTTTCTGCCAATGTACTGCTTCCTCACCTAAACCTTTGATTTTTCGAGTGTCACTCCTCTATGCATTGTTGAGACTGAAACCTTCCACCGGCAAAAAGTTCAATGAAATGTTTTTCTAGCCTTTTTGCTCCTACACCTGGTCTTAGAACATCAGCATCTCCCCAAACAGCACACCTGCCACTTTCACCGTTGCCCAAACACCATCCACCAGGGACAGGTTTCCCAGGACTACGGTGAAGAATTTCACTATCAATCTGGTCAAGAATTGGGTCACGTTCCTTAAATGGTGAGGCAAATGCAGCGCCACTCCTTATCATGTCTAAGAAGTCACTGGAGTTCAGCACACGGGCTTCCTTTCTAGAGTTCAGTGAAACATACTGCAGGTTGTGGTTGATGATAGTTCTATTGAATTGCCTTGAATTGCACAATACAGTGGGGAAATAAACAGCATCGGAAGATGGTGTATTTGACAAGTACATTAACAGCGTCCTTGGAAAGTTTTCAGTACCTAGGATGCAGAAGTCTAAGAACTTTCTGCTCAAAATGGAATATGACGATCCTGCAGACAAAAAGAGAACCTCAGGGATCATTTTTCCCAGTACTCTAGCATTAAAAACCTATATGTAGCCAGCTTGTCTGAACTGTGAGGTTTCATAATCAATTAAGTACAGCAGAAAATATGATAAGACATAATGAAATGCATCATCAAGAAATCATAAAAAATCACATATCAAAAATTTTAAGAACTCATACAATGATGGTTAAGACTATCTGCAAGGCACAAGTGAAGAAAAGAAGCACTATAATGGTATTCAGACAGCTTTTATGCCAATTCCTCAGGCTGAACCAACCAGGAGAAACCGGCATATATATGGTCAAAGACACATTGCATTTCAGAAAGAAAGAGTAAATACTTGAGAGAAATCTCGGCTGATCCTAGCACAGTGAACAGCAGCATAAGCTAGCCAGCACAGACACCAAATTCAGGGTGATGTATCCATGTTATGAACATGGCTAAAATTATGTCTCCTTTAGACTTTCTTTGACACACTTGGGGATACAAAATTGAGTTTTTTAACTCAATTATGAGTGGATTATTTATTCATTCTCTCCCTCAAGATCTAAGGCCCAAGACATGACCTTTGCAATGAATTTAATCTTATGTAGACCCAAGCAAACAGTGAACTGTGAGAATATACCAAGTAGGCTCGATTTTTTTTTCCTTTTCTCTTTATACATTTGAGGGTTTCTTTATGTGAGTGTGTATACACTGCCTATTTTTTTTATTTGATATTACAATAATAATAAATATTTACTATTCATGTCCCTGGTGTTACATTGCTACCTGTTTGTTGAAGATCGAGGGTCACCATACCTGTGTCATGTTAGACATCATGCCATTATGGGTGTCCTACAGAGTATTAGTATTTAGTATAGAATTATTTTTATGTATATACTATTATATGTCTATTTAGTAGTTCGTATATACTTCAAGTTCATATAAATATGCACATACATAAATTAGACTCCTTATCACTTTTTTTTAATAGCACTCTTGAGAATAAGAACTGAAACTAATAGTTTACAATGGTTTTCAGTATACTGGTGCTTTTATATTAGGTGTTGTAGACTTGTAGTTTAGAATTCAGAGCATTTAAGGTCAGATATTGAAATAGACGGGTATGAGTAAAATAAACATATCAGCAGAGTGTTGGAACTCTAGTTTGAATTGATAACTGAACTTGGGTTAGATATACATAGTGATGTGTTAATCTTTAGATTCACGAAGATTAAAAGATACTCCGTAGTTAATAGTGTCACAGGAAACATGAATGAGGAAACGGAAGATAAATGTTTTCTATGCAAAAAAACAAATGAACATACTGAGCATTTATCTATCCATGCACAATTGCACAAAACATAAGGATAAGCATGCTCACCCCTGAACACGCGAAAAGAATCCGGCAGAGGCCTCTGCTGAGTTGCATAGAATACGTCACTATCCTCCGCAAGGTACAGCCCGGGATCAACAATTATAGGTTTCAACTTCTGGGATCTACAATGCACAGCAGTGACAGCACACTGATAAAGTTAGAAAAAGATTAAAAACCTTTAAACACCTCCAAGATTTTTAATCAGTCACTTGTGGTGTTTGTACTTGCAAAGTCAAAAAGGAGAAACGGGAATGCACATACTCTCTCCATCCAATATAGCTTGTGTGATTGACAAAATTAAGATCCTTGGGCAGGTACGACAGAATGTGAAGAAGATCTAAAAATCAACGAGACAGATGAATGAAGGACGAGCCCAATACAGTATATATGCAAAGTAAAAATCCAATAACAATGCGATTATGTTAAAATACTTGATCCTTAAAATCCAATAACTATGCGACTATGTTAAACTACTTGATCCTAATGCACCCATAAACAGTAAACAGTAAACTAGCAAAGATACCACATTTACATGCTTTGATAAGAACTCAGAAATCCTATATAAATAGTATATCAATTTTGAAAACCGAGAAATAAACACATTGCAGCCTATAAGCTATATATTCCCAATGTATAAATGCAAACATAAGTGGATGGTAGCTAAGAACAGAAAGTCATTAAAATCTGGAAACAAAGCAGTAATTACTCAATAAATAAAGCAAGTACAAGTACTCCATCTAATATACCCTTTTTAGTACAATAAATTACTGAAATTGGAATGGAAAGATATACCATCTTGAGTTACGAGTGGGTAATCAGCACTAGACAGATTGATGAACCAATCCCAATTGCTGGAAATGCGGAGAAGAATCGATGCGCCATGGAGCGTGGAAGACATGGAAGAGGAGCCTTTGGAGTAGACGAAATCGGCGTTGCCCATGACGTGAACATTACGGGCAGCCCTGAAGAGGGGCACAGTGTTGACGGAGAGAGCCAACAAGTCGCGGTCGGACTTGGGAGCGGAGCGGTCGAGGTGGAGGAGATAGTGATTGCGGGGGTGGTAGACGGCGAAGAGGAGGCGGACGATCCGACCGGAGTCTCCGGCGGATCCGGAAATGTAGTAGGCGATGGATGGGGGGCGAGGCGGAGGGGAAGAAAGGTCGCCGTGGATGAGAACGCGGTGGGGATGTGAAGGGTGGTTGGGGAAGAGAGAGGGGTCGGGTTGGGTCGGCGGTGGAGTAGAGGGGAGAGTGAAGAGGGAGACGATTAGGAGGAGAGAGAAAAAGGTGGTGGTGACGAAGATAAATGGGGTGGAGAGTAGCCTTGTGATGGCGGAGGTGGCGGAGACGGCGGTGGTGGACGGTGGTGTTTGGTTATACATTGTTGACTGTGGGGGGTTGAGAATTTGATACTTTGCCGGTTGATTGGTTTTGCTATGTGATCTGTGCCGACTCTTCAATCTGCATTTCCTTTTATATTTCCCTTTTCTATTTTAATTTTGTTTTTTTTTTTACCTCAATGATTAATTTTCTTCACACTTATGTAATCACTGTGTGCTCAATTTTTGTCCAAGGCTAATAGGCTATTCTAAAGTGCTCATATATATATATATATATATATATATATATATATATATATATATATTTAAACATAAAATAGAAAATACAAAGTTTGAATGAGCACTACTCCAAGACTATTCTAAAGTGTTTCTTTTATTTTTTTTAATAAAAAATTATGTTTACAAAAATTTAAAATTATTATCATTTAGAGTTAATGCCACATGGGGTCCTCCAAGTATATTGGTTTAGCCACGTTTAGTCTTAAATTTTCAAATTGACCTCGTGGTCATTTAATTTTCAAATTGTTTCCATTCTTGGTCCAAGTTAACCACTCATGACTCTTCAACTAACAAATTTTAAAGGCATCTCCATTAAGGGTGTTGTGCACAGATTTTAAGAAATAGAAGATGATTTGGAAGAAAGAGAGTGAAGAGAGAGAAAGGATGAGTGTCTGTGTCTCCTAAAAAAAATGAGAATTTTGGCCGTGAGTGGGTCTCGCCAATAAAGAGGAGAGTTGCGCCTCACGATGCGTGAGGCGCAACTCTTACACACAGGCAAGCGCGTACCGCCTGGGCGCGTAATTTTTTATTTTTATTTTTAATTTCTAGATTTTTTTTTCCCTCCCCTCTCATTTTCTCTTTCCCAATCATACCTGCAAAATTTCCTCAAAATCCTCACACTATTAAGGATGCTCTAACCACCCATAGTCCTTACAGGGAGACCACAAATTGTTACATTTTGAAAGTTGAAAGATCATAGGTGGTAAACTTAGACCACAGATGCTAACAATTTGAAATCAAAAGATCACGGATGATCAATTTGAAAGTTTAGGACTAGACGTAGTTAAGCCACTTTACTCGGAGGATCCAATATGTTATTAACTCTATTATTTTATTATTTTCAATTAACTCATACAATATTTTAACTTCATATATATAATGACCCTTGTTTTTATTTTGCCCCAAACTTATAAAATGATAAGATTGGTCCTGCACAAGTCATAATTATGCATTCTTGAAATATTTAGTTTTATGAAAAATTTAATAATCTTGCGTTGAAATACGTCAGTATACTAAATGATACTTTGATAAATTCTAAATCACTAATTTTAAAATAGACATTTTGAGCATTGGACTATTTTGGTGCTTATATGACTAACGGCCCGTTTGGTTCACGGAATAAGCCGGGAATGACATAGCATTCCCAGTAATAGGCATATTCCTTTGTTTGGTAACCATTTCTATTACCAGGAATAATATTCATGGTAATAGCCTATTACCTCAAATAAGGTAATAGCTATTACTAGGGCTCCCCTGGTATTAGCCTATTACTGAACGCTCAGGAATAGATTTTAGAATCTATTTCCTTTTTTACCCCTTTCTTTAACCTAATTTTTTTATCCTATATATAAATTTATCCTATTTCACCACCGTCGTCGCCACCACCACCATCACCGCCGCCGCCGCCGCCACCACCACCACCAACATCGCTGCCACCGCCACCACCACCACCATCGCCACAACCGTCGCCGCCCCCACCACCACCGCCGCCCCCACCACTGCCACCGCTACCACCACCACTACCACCCAGCACCACCATCGCCACCACCACCGCCACTACCATCACCACCACCACTACCACCCCAGCACCACCATCACCACCACCGCCGTCACCAGAACCACCACCACCGCCACAACCGTCGCCGCCCCTACCACCACTGCCACAACCGTCACCGTCACCACCACCATCGTCGCCCCCACCACTGCCAACGCCACCGCTACCACCCCAGCACCACCACCACCACCACCACCGCCGCCGCCACCACCACCACCGCCACCGCCACCGCCACCACCACTGCTACCACCACCACCACCATCGCCACCATTGCCACCACCATCGCCACCACCACCATCGGCAACATCACATATTTTTATAAGGGTATTTATATCTTTTAAAACATATTTAATTTCTATTCCTTAAATCAACCAAACACTGTAATATAAATCCTAAAGTCTATTCCTTCCGCGAACCAAACAATAGAATACAATTCCTATTTTATTCCTTGCATATTCCATTCCTTATGGAATAGCATTCCTATTACCTCAAAATTCATTCCGTGAACTAAACGTGCTGTAATAGTGAAGGTGATTTTGTGGCGGCTAAGAATGGCTCCATAAGATGTTTGAGTGATGTTCTACTTGCTGAAGCTATGGCTGTAAATGAGGCTTTGTCATGGGCTAAAGAAAGAGGGGATAACAATTTGATTATCTTCTCCGATTGTCAGATGGTTTGCAAATGGTTTGAGAGTATGGCACGCGATCTTTCCTATGCTGGTTGTGTTTTAAATGAGTGTCGAATTCTTAAACGACACTTTGAATCAATGTCTATCCGTTTTATTCCGAGATCAGCGAACATATTTGTTCATGCCCTTACTAAAGCTACTCGTTCACAATCTGAACCTTTGTATTGAACACTTAATTAATCATTGAGTTAATACCCAAAATCGTCCTCGACTATAGTGGTTTTTCTCAATTTCGTCCTAAACGACTTTGGTGACCTAATATCGTCCCAGACTTTTGTGTTTCGCTCAATTTAGTCCTCCATTTGTTATTCCGTCAAATTGGTGTTAATAAATGGACAATTCAGTAACGTCAATATTGATCTATCTTTACTTTCAACTTGTGAAGTGCGAAATTCCTCTTTCTTGTACGAATTACGCCCAAAATTACTCCCGGACCTGCAAATCAAATTTTATATTCGCAGTTTTAGGAGTAATTTTGGGAGTACTTCGTAAAAAAAAAGGGATTTCGCAGTTCACATGTCTATGAGTAAAGAGATGCCAATATTAAAATTACTGAATTGTCTATTCATTTAACACTAAATGGACTGAATAACAAATGAGAGACTAAATTGAGCAAAAACACAAAAGTCTAGGACTAAATTGAGCGAAACACAAAAGTCTGGGACGATATTAGGTCACCAAAGTCGTTTAGGACGAAATTGAGAAAAACCACTATAGTCGATGACGATTTTGGGTATTAACTCATTAATCATTTATAACGTACAAATAAAACGCTTAACGCCTAAACGATTACAATTGCCGAACGCAGAGCACTAGATAAGCCCGAATGAGAATCAGGTGGGCTTAAGGTTATAAATGTCCTTTCAAGCTGCGAATCGATTCCTATATTAGGGCTCCGAACTCAAAACGAACTTCTTCCCGGTTTCCAACCGATATTTGCTAATCCTCGTACCTCGAAGCTCATTCCAAACGCTTTCTGCAAAATCAATAGATTTTGCTGCAAAAGGATGTCCTTCATTGATGAATTTGAAACCAGTATGCCTTTGCTTTCTCTTTATCTCTCTGTATTTGTACGTACGTACGTATACTTTGTATGTCTTTGCAAATCTGTACACAAACAATGCTTCCATTTATTTCTATGGATAATATGCCCTAGGTAAAGCCCTTATGGTGATAGCATGTGACTGTGAAGCTATACTCTGTTGTATTTGAATCCGGGAATTGTTTGAGATTCAGAAGTCTCATCTGAATTTGGGTAAAAAGTTATGGTTTTTATGTGGAAATGGGGAATTGGGATGCGTATCTCATTTGTACTTTATTCTCTGATATTGAAATTGATAGCTCACTTCAAATAATATTCCCCGTTGCCAAGAATTACTGAATCTTTAATTGGGGGTGTTAACACCCAGAAGAAAGAAAGGAAGGGATTTTTGTTCTATGGTTCAGACATCAACTAGTTCCGCAAAAAGAGAGGAAGTTATTTTTCTACGGATTTTGAGTTTTGTGAATGAACTGGACTTTGGCTCCAGTTTCAACTAAATACTTAAAATGTTTTTCATTCAGACCCCGGCGATGATGGAATGGACCAGTATTGGAATATATATATTTTTTTGTTTAATGCACAGCTAAAATGGGGATGAGAATTCTAGAATTGTACTGGGTATATGATATTCTTTCTATAAAAGAAAAAGAAAAATTCTACAGTTATAGATATTTGGAGTTGTAAAAGGAATCCTTCTAAATTCACAGTTAGTTATATTCGGCTCACTTTGATATTTAAAATGTTTGTGGGGGCTGGGGGGGGGGGGGGGGGGGGGGTCCATTGGAGTATTACCCTTGGCACTAAGAATAATGTATTCTACATTTCTACTAAGATTAGATACATATTTACACACCCACACACATACACACAAGGATACCTGAAATTTAGTGGGATCAGATGACTTCAATGCACTTCATGTCTTCATTGGATATGCCCTTTACCCTTGTAACTACTTCCTCCTGGAAAACATTGCTTTGTCATATAATACTACATTGTTCACCATTTTCAGATTTGGAAGTGCTGCCAAATATACTACAGAAGAAGTATGGATTGATGCGTGATCTTGATAGAAGTTTACAAGGTATGATTTGCATCAATGGTGAATATTGCAAATTCTTTGTTGTTTTCATCTCTGAATTTCTCTTATGCAAGTTGGTCTAGCTAATTTCTCCTTAACACATCACACACGGTTTTCTTTACCCAGTATTGCTTTAATTTTTGAATGTACTCAGAGAAACATATTCTAACATTGAGTAGTATATAGGATGTCTCAGTTTTCGACTATGATGATTGGAGAATGACTATTGCTATGTGCAGTTCCTTTTTTCAGTTTTCTCTTTCTCTTCTTCTTCTTCTTCTTATAGCTAATGTTAAGCAAGCCCTTTCTTCTGATCAGAAGTCCAGCGGCAAAATGATCAGCGTTGTCAACTAGAAGTAGAGGATATGAAGCAACGCATTAAGAGTGGCAATATTGCATCAGACTCATCACTTATAAAGTTCTCAGATGATGCATTGGATGAACAAAAGCATGCCATCAGGATTGCTGACGAGAAAGTTGCATTAGCTATTCAGGCATATGATCTAGTATGAAACTCTACTCTTCTACTGCCAATAAAGAAAACCTAACTCTGTGCTATCATTTCCCTGCTAACTCAAGTCTATTCTATGCTTTGCCACTTTCTATTTTACCACGAAATTCAAGAGTTGGATTTTGAGAATTTGATGATTACTTATGCAGGAAGAAAGAACTAGATTGAGCATTCTATCCATGTCAATGTAGGAATAAATTATGGGAAATGTTTTGCAGTTTCTAGGATATTAAAATTATGTGCCAAAGTTCTTAAGATGATTACCAACTTAGCATATCAACTTCTATGCAACAATGTTAGTGGTAATATGATAGCAAGTTGGTTAGAAAAGTAAATATGCAGTCCAAAGTGATAATAGGCAAGGAATTAAAGAACCTTGTATTACTGAACAACCCTTGTTGATCAAGCTTACAATGGCTATCACATTTTCCCAAATACAACAGGGGATTAGCCAATCCCCTTTGTACAGATGCCCTTGAATGCAAGGATATAAGTTCCAGTTTTAGTTTATCTGATGAATAAGTGTACCGACTTCAGCTTAATAGATTGCAAGATTGTTAATCAAAGGTAAGCTCAATGACTCAATGTAGAGACTTAGAAGAATGGATAAAGATTTAGGTTTAAGGCTTTTTATGAATTGAATAAAACGTTTGTGAAGTAGGTAAGAATTTAAAACTCAAGTTTGAGTAGTAAGTGTGAAGAATAAGGCAATTTGATCAGGTAATGTTTTTGACATAAGTTTGACCACTAAAGATTAAGTGATACATGCTTGGGACTATGATTTTTAGGAAGTCTTATTTTATTATATTACATAGTTTAGATATTAATAAATTACTAAATAGTTATTTAGAAACTAATAAATAGTTATTTAGAAATTACTAAATAGTTACTTAACTTATTATTCTTAGTCTTCGAATTAATTTAGGTAGTTTAATTATTTAGAAATAAACTGGAAGATTTCAGCAGATTACTTAGCTTATTTAGCCATTCTATGAGTTGTATTTTACGCTATAAAAAGGGAGTATTATTCAGAATAATGGAAGCAGAAGGTGTTACCATGAATATTCCTAAGTTAAAAAAATTGCTTTGGAATAGCTTTGAAGGAATTGAAGCCTTTACTCCAAACCAAACTGATTTTGAAATCATTGACTCAAAACTTGTTTTCAAACATATAGAAAGGGAATGGTTTATAAATTGAATAGGAGGGAATGAATTCAAAAACCGCTTAGGAGAGCTAATTGAGCTTACTTATGTTTAACCAAATTATTTGACCTTTAAAGCTTTAACCTATTAAAGCTCTCCATGAATTTGCATCATTGCATTCCTTATTACAGGTCTGGAAGAAAATGGATTAGGAATTCCTTCACACTTAAAACACAATTGTTGGCTATATTATTTGTTAACATCAAAATCAAGATTGTTAAAGAGCATAGTGCTAACAATAATTTTCATATTTTTGAACAAAAAAAATAAATTATCCAATATTCTCTGAATTCACAAAAAAACTTGACACAACAGGTAGATACTCATATTCAACAGCTTGATCAGTACTTGAAAAAATTTGATGAGGAGCTCCGTAGAGGTAAATTTCTCCTAGCTTAAGTGATTTCCAGCTGCTTTCTGCCTCAGTGGAGTTGGTGAGATTTATCCTTCTGTATCATAGAACAATTTCAACTTTTATCCAATATTCTTTTAATTTAACAGTTGCAGAGAGAGAAAATGCAGTAGCCACAGGTTCAACTACTTCAAATGTTGACAACAATGTGAAATCTGGAAGATCTGGTGATAGTAGCAAAGGGGGCCGTAAAAAGTATTGCATTCCCTTTTCTATTTTAAACTTCTTTTGTGTTAAGGTCTATGTCAGTTTTGTTGAGTGTTTGACTTACATGTTCTGCATCTTTTAATGCTGTTTGACCCAACCTGAGGTTTTTGAAAAAGAGATTTTTTAAAGATGGTTGAACTTTAAGGTTATTTTTTAAAGAGGTTTTCCTGCTTTTATATATATATATATATATATATATATATATATATATATATATATATATATATATATATATATATATATGCATTTTTGAATTATTAGTGTTTGACACAGCTACTTTTTGGAGTAAAAATTTTCAAAAAAAGTTGTGCAAAACAAGCACATAGAAACTGGATGGCGTTAGTCCTTTTCAGTTCATATAGGCTTTTTTTCGTTTCTGTTTTGCTTTGAATTCAATCTATTGTTTTTATAGTTCAATCTATTGTTTCTAGGAATAAATAAACAAAAGAGAAAATGGTTTCCAGTGTGTTCTACTTTTTTGCTTGTGTTCTGAGTTGATTGAAATGCTTTAATTTCATGGGGTGTATGCAAAATCTTCATGATTTTCCATTCTTTGAGTTCACTAATTCAATTGTTTTGTTGTTAGAATTTAGAAATGACAACATTACTTTTGCAAGGCTTACATCTCAGTCATATGGGTTTATTTTGTATTTTATGTGAAAATATTGTGAACTGCACAGGCAGATTATACTAAACAACAGTCCATATGTGCAGGACTCGTCTTGCAACAGCAACACCCGCAGCTAACCCAACCGGTATGGATTTGGATCTACCTGTTGATCCAAATGAGCCAACATATTGCTTCTGCAACCAAGTCAGCTACGGTGAAATGGTTGCATGTGACAATCCAAACGTAAGCTACCAGCACTTTACGGCTTTGGATCTTTTTTCTAATATTGGTTGCATGCACAGCTTTTATTGATGAGAAGTTTTTGCCCTCTCGACAGTGCAAGATAGAATGGTTCCACTATGGTTGCGTTGGCCTTAAAGAGCAGCCTAAGGGTAAATGGTACTGTTCTGATTGTGCTGGAAAGCGCGGGCGTAAGAAAGGCAAGTAATAAAAGTGTGCGCAGAGAAATTGTGCCATTTCAGTTCTTATTGTCGGTAGACATGGAGTAACTTTGTGTATATTATTTATTGCTTCGGTTTTAATCTCTTTGTTGCTCCCTCTGTATCTTTATCTTTATGGTGTCACATAATATCTGTAAGAGGTTATGTTAATGTGTAGTAGTTTTTGTAAGAGAAGGTTTAGTTGAAAACATGAAATGAAGCACCCATATTTGTATTAACTATTGTTGCCCCTAATGTTGTATTTGAGTTTTCTCTTAAACCTTCTTATTCCTGTAGCTAAGGAATATGGCCTATGGGTGGGTTTAGTTTCTGGAAAAAAAATTATTTTTTTAGGAAATAAAAAAACATGCTTTTTTCAGCATTGTTTTCCATTATTTCATCTGAAAAAATTGTTTTTCATTTTTTCAATTTAATAAAGGATTTGGAATTTGGAAACAATTTTTATTTTTGTTTTTAATATTTTTTTTTCAAATATAAAACCATACATAACTTTATTTATAATCACTATCATTACAGGCAAATACCACTATATCTATCTACTCATATCATCTACCCAACCACCTACAAGTATACATCTACTACCCCTACCTACTCTATCACCACTTATATGTACTTATTTCAGCATAACTATTACTCATGATTTATATATTCACTACTATAATTATATATAATATTTTATGTTTTATCTATCCATCTTACTATAAATGACTATTTAAGGAGAAAAACTCAAGGTAAAAAGGGGCATGCTTCTTTAAAATTAGACATGAGAATTCAGTGCGATATTTTAAGACTTATTATGCTAGGAATGGGTTTATGTGAGAAATGGGTGAACTTGATCCTACAATGTCTGTCCATTGTCTAGTATTTCATCCTTAACGAGGGAGTTAGAATTGGGCCCTGTGATCCTCAATGGGGACTCAGGCAAACCTGTTTGACACTACTCATATGATACTCAAAATCACCCCCGCAGGCTCGTATACACACACAATTGAGTATGAGGCACGAGAATTTTACAACTATTCGAACTCGTTTCAAACTTGACTATCAACAAGTCATGCCCATCTATTACAATTCAGGTAGACGATATTATTTTACCCCTATTGACATCCATGGATATTATTTATATAATTCGAATTTAAAACTCAAAAAATAGCACTCAAAATTTTGAATATTCAAACCAACCAAGTCCAATGCACATACATGATCGCACCACATGATATTATTGTCACCTTTCACAAACATTAATTGTACGTTAAAATGAAGGAAAATGATCGAGTTTAAAATAACCCTTATTTTTTTATTTGAAAAATAATATGATTTGTGAGTTAGATCGTGGTATATATTTAGCTCCTAAATTATATTTGTGATTATCTTTAACACTCAAGTTATGCACAAAGAGGAAAGTTTAGTGACTTTAGTCCCTAAAGGATCAAATTCGCCAATTTATTTTTTTTGATAAAGAGGAGGGGAACACCCAGGGGTCATTATACGACCCTCACAGTGATGGTTTCGCCAATAAGGCCTAACTCATCTTCGCGTAGTGTTCTCTGGATATCTCTCGGTGGTCTTCCAAACCAGCTGAAAACTTCATGATACGGTAGAAACCCTGGGTATACCCAAAAAAATAGTTCATGATGGACTAAAATTATCACTTCACGCATAATTTAAATATTAAAGATGATCACACATATAACGCAAGGACCAAGTCGATCAAAAACACAACTTTCTTTTAAAAATATTTTGAAGTTTAGATATTGTATTTTTTATTTTATATTGACTTTTAGAGATTAGTATTTACTATTTAATTATTTATTAGTGGGTTGGTGTTGTTTTTAGTTATTAGTATAAGATTTTGAATTATTAAATAATTAATATTTATGTACCTAAAGAGAAAAAAAAAATTCAAAAATTGAGTAAATATTCAAAATGGTCACTCGACTATAACATAATTTACAAATTGATCCTTGACTATTGATTGAATCTGATTAAATCTTCAACTATTCATTTTTTACATGATCTGGTCCTTTCGTCAATTCCTCGTCTAAAACTTGTAATCTCTGAGTTCATAAGAGTAATTTCATCAATTTTTACATAATTTGGTCCTCCGTCAATTCCCCGTATTCTCTACTCAGATTACAATTTTGTTACATAAATATTATCGCAATGACGCAATGTACCTTAAATCTTGCTTGTTCCAAGCCAATATGATCGATACTGCGTCGCCGGAGGCCATGGTGGGCGTCAATGAAGGAAGACACAACCATGGCAAAAATAGGGTAAGAAGACTCATAGGTAACGGAATTCTTAGATCTGGGATTCGATTCTTGGGTGAGTTCTCCATCTTTGAAGGAAAATGGGTTAAAATTTGATTCTTAGGTAACTAGATTTGTTCATGAGAATAAACATGTGAGTAGAGGAAAATGAGTTAAAATTTGATTCTTAGTTAACTAGCTTTGTTCATGAGAATAAACATGTGAGTAGAGAGAGCACTTAAAATTGACGGATGACCAAATTAAGGTAAAAATTGATGAAATTACTTTTGTGACCTTGAAGATGATGGGCTTTAGACAACTGAGGAATTGAGGACCAAATTAGGTAAATATTTAAATAGTTGAGAATTTAATCCGATTCAATCAATAGTTGAGGATCAGTTTGTGAATTATGCAATAGTCGAGGGACAATTTTGGATAGTTACTCTTAAAAATATATCCTTATACTTTTTAGGGAAAATGGCACTTTTTCTCCATGAATTACATACTTATAGCACTTTTTCCCCCTTAATTATTTAGTAAGCACATTAGCCCCCTCAATTATTCTAAAAGTGGTGGTTTTTCCCCCTGATATATTAAATTGACATTTCTACCCTTAAAGTAAACATTTTATTTATTTTACTTCTCCAACAAATTATTGCGTATACGTAGGGATGACCACGGTTCGGTTCGAACTGAACCGGACACTAATGCAATCGAATTAAAAATTTTCGGTTATGATTCAGATCTATAACCCAACATTTGGATTTCAATTTATTGAAATTATGAATCAAACAAATTGGATCCTGAACTGCTGAACCGTGAACCGGGGGTTCCAGATCCGGTTCACGATTTTGAACCGTCTTTATTTTAAATTTTTGTTTTTTTTTTTAATTTTAAAATAGTCTAAATTCAACAATAAATGTATTTTATTTTTTCAGTTCGGAACATAAACCGTCCGTTCCGGTTCGCGATTTTAATAAACTTTAAATATCGGGTTTCGATTCTAAATTGTAATTGAAATATTTCGGTTTGGTTGCTATAGTGTTTGTTTGGTTTGAATCAAATTATGGTCATAATTTGTTGGAGAAGAAAAATAAATAAAATGTTTATTTTAAATATTTATTTTAAGGGTAAATATGTCCATTTAACATTTCAGGGGGAAAAACAACCACTTCAATAATTGAGGGGGGAAAAGTGCTATAGGTATATAACTTAGGGGGAAAAAGTGCCATTTTCCCTACTTTTTATATTTACACATTTTTTTCCACATTTCGTTTATACTTTTTTAAAAATGTTGCTTCTCCATTTCTTATTGGGACAAAGTAGAAATAAACTATTCAACTATTTAGAAAATATCAATTAAGCCATCGAATTCAAATAAGCTCCAAAAAGATCCACAAACCCAAAAAGTGTTGCAATTACCTTTTTTTTTAGCAGGTAACTTACCGGTTTTGCTTACCTAGATTGCCACGTAGATTTTAATTTTAAAATTTTATTCCATAGTGGATCACAAAAATAAACACTGCCTTTTTAAGAAGATCTTGTTCGACGTCCTCTTCTTCACCATCAGAAGAATGCTGCCTTATTGATAATTTGAGCTTATTGCTACCCGATTTCGTTTCCACTCCACTAATGAAGAGCTGGTCTTATTGATAATTTGAGCTTGTTGCTACCCGGATTTCGCTTCCGCCTCCACTAATGAAGAGCTGGTTCGACATTACCTAAACCCCAAAGTTCTCAACTTCCCTTTGCTAGCTTTCGTCATCCTTGAGAATTGAGATTGACAATATCTGCAAATATGATCCTTGGGATTTGCCAAGCACGCTTTGTTGGTTTCTGATATTCTTTTCTACGGTAAACAAATGCGTATATTTAATTTGAGTGTTTATTATATTCATGTGGTTTAGATGGAGAGAGGTACTTCTTCAGCACAAGAGAGGTGAAGAACGACCGTGGGAACCGATGCAACAGAGCCATCGGTAAAGACAAGAAAAACACTTTCTGGTGTGCTGCAACGCCTCATTGGAATGAAGAAAACTCTGGTGTATTACAAAGGAAAGCCTTCAAATGATTCCAGAACTGATTGGATCATGCACGAGTATTGCACATCCATTGCCCCTCAACCACACGTTTCACGTCCAAGGTCACTGCACAGAGCCTCCAGATAATTTGAGCTTGTTGCTACCTGGATTTCACTTCCTCTCCACTAATGAAGAGCTGATCTTATTGATAATTTGAGTTTGTTGCTACCCGGATTTCGCTTCCGCTCTACTAATGAAGAGCTGGTTCTGCATTACCTAAACCCCAAAGTTCTCAACTTCTCTTTGCTAGCTTTCGTCATCCTTGAGATTGACAATATCTGCAAATATGATCCTTGGGATTTTCCAAGCACGCTTTGTTGGTTTCTGATATTCTTTTCTGCTGTAAATAAATGCGTATATTTAATTTGAGTGTTTATTATATTTATGTGGTTTAGATGGAGAGAGGTACTTCTTCAGCACAAGAGAGGTAAAGAATGATCGTGGGAACCGATGTAGCAGAGCCATCGGTAAAGACAAGAAACGCTCTTTCTGGTGTGCTGCAACGCCTTATTGGAATGAAGAAAACTCCGGTGTATTACAAAGGAAAACCTTCAAATGATTCCAAAACTGATTGGATCATGCACGAGTATTGCACATCCATTGCCCCTCACATTTCACGTCCAGGGTCACTGCACAGAGCCTCCGGATAATTTGAGCTTGTCGCTACTTGGATTTCGCTTCCGCTCCACTAATGAAGAGCTGGTTCTACATTACCTAAACCCCAAAGTTCTCAACTTCCCTTTGCTAGCTTTCGTCATCTTTGAGATTGACAATATCTGCAAATATGATCCTTGGGATTTGCCAAGCACACTTTGTTGGTTTCTGATATTCTTGTATGCTGTAAACAAATGCGTATATTTAATTTGAGTGTTTATTATATTCATGTGGTTTAGATGGAGAGAGGTACTTCTTCAGCACAAGAGAGGTGAAGAACGACCCTGCGAACCGATGCAGCAGAGCCATCGGTAAAGACAAGAAACGCTCTTTCTGGTATGCTGCAACACCTCATTGGAATGAAGAAAACTCTGGTGTATTACAAAGGAAAGTCTTCAAATGATTCCAGAACTAATTGGATCATGCACGAGTATTGCACATCCATTGCCCCTCAACCCCACGTTTCACGTCCAGGGTCACTCCATAGAGCCTCCAAAAATTGGGGGCTCAATTGTAATTTTTTATATATATATACTATAGCCTGCTTTATATATATATATATATATATATATATATATATATATATATATATATATATATATATATATATATATATATAATTAGGTGAGAATCATGCCCCACGTTGGGACAAATCCAAACCATTGATCTAGTAGATTTAACGGTTGAAAATAAATAAAACATTGTCATTTACCTAATCACCTTTAACACTAAATTAATTTTACTAAACATTTCTATACAAAATTACAAATGGCTAAGACAATTCATTGATAAAAATCGCTAAGATTATTCGCTGATCAAAATCACTAACACAATTCGCTAAGGGCTATTCTCAAACAAATTAAAGCCATTAGTATTAGAATAGGGTGTCAATTTTGACGATACCTAGCTTCGCCATCCATTATTATATATATAAAGCCATTAGTATTTGGGTACTAGGACAGAAGTACCATATGCAACCAAGTTACATAATCATAACTAGGGATGATCACGATTCGAATCGAATCGTGTATTGTTACAAATCTGAACCAAAATCGATTGTACGGTTCTGGTTAATTAAGGTTCACAAAATTTTGAAACTGGAACCGTCCATATAAGGTTCCGGTCCGGGTATCTTGAAACCGCGAACCGGAACCGAACCGTGGGCACTCCTAATGATAACCAAAAGATATACATCATGAATTAATACCATAATGTGCAATTAGCAGCTTGCTTCAATTCCTGAGTTTTTTTCCCTTGTCATAACACCATGGATTTGACAAGCCCCATATTGCAAATAAATACTATCATCATATCATAAAATGAAAATATGGTATTAGTCTATGCCACTGATAGAAAATTCCATAGAGATGGCATGATCCGATCCGGAGAATCAAAGTAAACTTAGTAAAGTTGACAGAGAGAATTATTGGATCAATGCGATCCCTTTGGAATCTTCCACCAGCACCATCTATCAAACTCATTACGTATTGAAGAATGGAGGAGATGAATATGAAAATTGGGTGTCATGAGCATTGCATATGAATATAATGTATGTTCCTTATTTATATACATGGAAACCACTGAATTGCGTGTATGTTTGTTTATTCTTTCTTTATTCATGTAAATGGTGTGAAGAAGAATTAAACGTTACATACACTTCATCAAATTTGTCTTTGTTTTTTTAATAGAATATAATCTACTTAGTGATCATTTTCTAAAAAAGCCAATCAAATAATGCATATTAAATGATAAATATTACGAGCTAAAACGGTAAATTATAATTAATATCGACCAAGATGATTCACTTTACATTGTGGACTCTAGTTCAAAATAACATTCGAATTATGTGTATGCATGAGCGGATCCACAATGGGGGTAATTGAAGCATGTGTTCCATCTCAACTAAAAGTCTAAGCTGATAATTAGATTGCACATTAATGATCATATGCTCAACACGGGTGATGGGGCAGTTGCCCCCACCCTCACTCGACCCCATTATATATATGTATGTATATTTGTCTGCATGGGCAGCTCAACTGGTCATAGAGGTGAATGTTTGGAAGAATGACCAGCAGTGTGGGAGCAATCTCTCAAAGTGAGGAGGACTCGTTGTGCACAGTAAGCAAATGTCTAGCCTCTGTGGTTCATGTTCAGTTGAGTTACCATGACTTACATTATAATAAAATATTATACAAAGAATTTAGTGAAGTTTAAGGTAGCTTTAATGGTAATGAGCATTTAATGGTAATGAGCATTATTATTATTATTATTATTATTATTATTATTATTATTATTATTATTATAGCTAGAGGAAGGACAAAAGATGGAAATGATGTGACCAACAAGTATACATTTGAAGTATTTCTAATAGTTTAGTTGTAATTAAAAACTAGAAGATACATACTAGTAAGTGGTTATAATAAAGAAACTTTATAATTTTGACGAGGTTAACAATAATGGCTAGAGTTTCAAATCTAACATTGAGGTGGTGGTCAGAGGCGGACCCAGCATGGGGGCAGTGGGGGCAGCTGCCCCCACTCACCCCACCCCCTAGCCCTTGTAAGTATATGCATATATATATATATATATATATATATATATATATATATATATATATATATATGTGTGTGTGTGTGTGTGTGTGTGTGTGTATAGTACACATTTTACGTATATCTATTTGGAAACGAATAATTTACATAATAGATTAGTTAGTCCAGTTGGTAGAGGCGTGTACTGTGTTCTAATAGGTCAGGGTTTTGAATCCCCTTCTCAAATTATCTTTTTTTTTTTGGCTTCCAAAAGCTTTTTTGACTTTCAAGTTTCAAGTTTCAAAAGCTCCTCTCTCTCTCTCTCTCCCTATATATATATATATATATATATATATATATATATATATATATATATATATATATATATATATATATATATATATATATATATATAATTCTTTTTTATATTAATAATGACCTGTATAATTTATAACATATTTTTTATTTGAATTATTTTATCAAATTAAATATATTTTATATTTTATATATTATGAATATTTTTATAAAATTTTGATGTATTTTATTTTTCACTTATATCCGCCCCCACTGAACAAAATTCCTAGGTCTGCCACTGGTGGTGGTGAGAATAAAGATTAATAAAATTGTATTATGATTATCTTACAATAACGATTAATAAAAAAATAAAATTGTATTATGGGAGAGCATTATTGATTATTTTACAAATTTAAAATTAAATATTCATTAAACTTAACTTTCACAATGAAAATTGATACGAGAATGTGAGAATTATGAAAGGTAAATAATATAATATTTCTTATGCAATCGAATCTAAATATTTAATTAAATTAATACATAAGTTATCAACTCTCAAAGAAATTCATTTTCTTCTCTCAAAAGTATTCATTTTTTGAAATGATAATATATCAACAAAAATGATTATTATCTTATAACTCCTTAATTTAATTATATGAACACAACATATATTAATTTTATTATAACAATCAATATTATCTCGTAAACCCAAGGGTAAGCTTTAAATCCTCAAAAGGGCCCCCCAACCGGGTTCGAACCTGTGACTTCTTGATCTGCAGTCAAATGCTCTACCACTGAGCTATGGACCCAACTGTGTTAACATTATTGTTATTAATTTTATTATTATCTTTACAAATAAACAAAATAAAATACTCAAATGGGCGATCTTTGAATAACACAGGGCCCAACCGGGTTCGAACCGGTGACCTCTTGATCTGCAGTCAAATGCTCTACCACTGAGCTATGGACCCAACTGGTAACATTATTGTTATTAATGATATTAGTATATTATCCTTACAAATAACAAAATAAAATACTCAATTAGACGATCTTTTAATAAAGAGGGCCCAACCGAGTTCGAGCCGGTGACCTCTTGATCTGCAGTCAAATGCTCTACCACTGAGCTATGGACCCAATTTGTTATTTGTTACGAGTATTTTTTTTATAAAAGAAAAGGTTATTTCCTTCTAGGTGTTGAATACCATCCGGTAGACTCTATTTCAAATTAGAGGTGTAAATGAACTAAGGTATTCATGAGCTATTGATCTTAATTTGATGAATATTTAAATTTAATTTAGTTAAGTTCGAACTTAAATATAATTTAGGTAATGAGTCGAGTCAAATTTAAGCTTCTTAATAATTGACTCGCGTAGCTGGTAAGCATAATAGATTTTTTTTTTTTTTTTAGTTTTATATATTTTATATCTAATATAAATATAATATTTTAAATTTAACTAATTTATTTATATTTTTATGTGTATTTGTTATAAATTAGCTATAATCAAAATGTAATGTTAAGTTTTTTATAATATTTGGATGTAAAATACTTATTATTATTATTATTATTATTATTATTATTATTATTATTATTATTATTATTATTATTATTATTATTATTATAAAAATAGAAATAAAACATTAGTAATTGCATTTGAGCTAAGATGAAATAACTCAAACTCAAGTTCAAAAATTAGAGTTTGGTTGAGTTTCGATTTTTTAAATTGAGCCAAACTTTGAGATTTGAGTATTCGATTTCGACTTGGTTGGTTTACCGTACCCCTAATTGAAATGCTCTAAATCCAGTGAAATTGTAGGGTATCAAAAAGACATTGCATTAGTGTACTACTATTACAAAGAGAGATGGATAATGACTTTTTTTTTTATAGACAAAATAATAATTATTATTTATAAAAATGACACTGTTTATTATATTTATAGTAGTAACATTATCCTACTCTCTTTATTAACATTCAATTTACTCCATAGAAAGTAAAAACTATACTTACATCTCTCATTTTGTTAAAATAAAATGAGATGAAGACTTCTATCTTATTAGAAACAAAATTTAGTTTTTTTTTTTTAAAAAAAAAAAAATCTTTTTTCTTTAGTGTATAGTGCAACGCCATAAAAAAATTCATATAATATATTATCCTTCGAGAGAAAGGGAAATATATATTAAAATAAATATGGGGGTAAATAAAGTTTTATATATACGCAGCAAACCTAACATAGGCTTGATAGTTTAGATTATATAGAGTTGAATTCATATTTTAGGATGCTAAAATTCAACTTTATGCAATAATTTTATTCTTTCCTTCTTTGACTATTGGCTAAGAGTTTAGATTATATATGGTTGAATCCATCAAGCTAAGCACCACATAAAGTTATCAATTAGCCATTTTGATAGAGTCTCACCTCCTTAAATTCATATATCTATGGAAGATAAGGAAGAAGTGGAGCTTCATGGATCATGGCCAAGTCCTTTTATGTATAGAGTAATTTGGGCATTGAAGCTAAAGAGAATACCTTTCCGATACATAGAAGAAGATCTCTCCAACAAAAGTCAATTGTTGCTAAAATACAATCCAATTCATAAGAAGATCCCTGTGGTTGTTCATGGTGGAAAACCTATTTGTGAATCAATGGTGATCCTTGAATATTTGGAAGAAACTTGGCCACATCAATATCCTTTGTTGCCCAGTGATCCTCATGATAGAGCTGTTGCGCGATTTTGGTGTAAATTTGCTGAAGATAAGGTAACATGCATCTTTATATTTATATTTTCTTATTAGTTAAATGTCATACTTTGAAACCTAACTTATTATTGTTACAAAGTAACATAGAAGACGTTTGGTTGAGCGGAAGGAATTAGGAGGGAAAGGAATTGTAATTCGATGGGAATTCAAATTACATTGTTTGGTAGGGAGGAATATAATTACTTTGAATGGGAAGGGAAGAAGTGATATAAAGACTAAAATGTCATTGTGTAATAATAATAATAATAATTAAGGGTAAAACAGTCTTTTTCTTCTTTATCCCTTTCCTTTCCCTATTGAATTGCAATTCATATAGGGGAGGTATGAATTGCAATTCAACAAAATGAACCTTTTAAGTATATTTTGACCAGGACTATGTGGTCTAATGGTACCCGAGTTGGACTTCTGTTTGGAAGAACAGACACTACAATGTAATAGAGCCAGTAACTTTCAAAAAAAAAAAAAGTATATTTTGATTGAGTTTACTTCAAACATCACTCATATGTAGGCTAAAAACAAATTTTTCTCTATTACTTGAAAAGGGTGTAACTTACCATCCATGATATTACTTCCTGAATTCCACAAATATTTAAATTACAACAGTTCTTACAAAACTAATTAAATAATAAGTTTTGTATATCTATTTGTATAGTAATCACACTATTATAGAATCAGTACGTCAACACTTGTAACGTTAACATTTTTTTTTATCATATGTGATGTTGTAGGGTCCTTGCATCTGGATGATGTTTAGGACAAGTGGAGAAGAACATGAAAGGGCAGTGAAAGATAGCCTAGAAATGCTCAAAACCATAGAGGAAGCCCTAGCCCTAGGAGGAGGAAAGAAGTTTTTTGGTGGAGATGAAATTGGGATGGTGGACATAGCCTTTGGAGGGATTGTTCGTTGGATGGAAGTTATTGAAGATGTTGTGGGAGTGAAATTACTTGAACCTGCAGAATGCTTTCCTAAATTGCATGCATGGATGATGAATTTTAAGGAATCATCCGTCATAAAAGAGAATCTTCCTGATAAGAGCGAGATGTTTGTGTTTTTTAAGAATTTGAGGGAAAAATTGGTGTGATGAGTATGATTGAAGAACAAGAGAAAACTTAGCATGTTATTAAGAGGAATAAGAAAAAAAAAAAGCATGTATTAATAAACCATGTGGTATTAAAATTTCCCTTTATTTAAAATTCCATCTATTTTTTCAGATTAAGTTTAATACACTTCTAATATTACTGTAACATGCTTAAATTTGTTATGAGTTTTGATACTTTCAGTACAAGAAAAGTTTATTAAATAAAATTTCTATTGTTGAAATCGGTGTTGTTGTAAGTACGTTCTCGTAAAGACAATGATTAAAAATCGTACAGTTTTTAATCGTTTGTCTTCTCTATATAAGACAATGGTTAAACAACGTTGTCTATTGATTGTTGTTGAAAGTCACACACATAGATAATGATTTTTAATCATTGTCTTTTCTATATAAGATAACGGTTAAAAAAACGTTGTCTACTGAGTATTGTTGAAACGAGTCTCTTTTCTATAGGCATGTTACACCATGAATATAACAAAGCCTAAAAAAGAAGCGGTTATAGATAGAGGATAATGCAGTGTAACGTGGCAAATGGAACTTATGTAGAATACTCAAATGAAGACCACTTCCGCTGCTCATGGCGGTGGTCTTCTTCTCCATCCTACGCCAAAATCTCACCGATTGCCAATTTTTCTCTTCATCCCTCACCACCTCCGCAACTCTGCAGTGCCGAAACACCTTATTCTGCATCCGCTCATACTCTGCAGGTCTCGCCGCTGGGACTCCAATGCTGAGACCTTCAGGACCCAGAATTTCAACTTTAACGGAGATGAGGATGAAGAAGAAGATGATGATGATGGAGAAGGAGGCTTCCCTGATTTTATTGATGAGTTTCTTGATAATATTTGGATTCTTAAGGTACCATTATTTGTTTATCCCTCTCTGAATTATACTACTCCCTCTTTGCCATTGTAGGTTTTCAATTTTTTGGGTTGTTAAGTATCAGTTTGATTCTGGATTATTTAGTGCAAAGTTTGAATTTTGTGCAATGGGTTTTACTGGCTTGGGAGATTAGAGTTCTCTGGGTACTTTATTTGCGGTAAGGGGTTTGATTATTTAGCTAATCTATCTAATATTGAAGGAGTTATTGTATGTTAATTTTGTCAGTAGGTTGAGAATTCCAAACTACTCGGCAATATGCAGTGTAGTAGTAAACTTATATGGTGTACTATCATTCTAGCTGAGTGTGAACCTTTACTTTGAATCTTTGATTATGATTTCAGTCAATCTCAAACTTATGGTCTAACTGCTTTTGAAGTTTCCCTATAGTTAGCATTATTGTATTAGTATAGTACTAAGTTTTCGCATCCTATTGCATTCTCAGTTTAGCTTCCTGCTATAGCCAAAGATTCCACTATGTTGATATAGTAGTACATGTTCATTATTGAGCTTGCTTGGAAGCCATTAATGGAGTCCCATTGCTTGTGAAGAAGATGAAGAAAAGGGTAGAAAAATGATAATGTTTGAGTCATTGGCTTTTGCTTGCTATGAATGGCATCCTTTGCTTGGACTACATATGTAATTTGTGCGACATGTTTGAACAGGATTAATTTGATAGATGGGAATTTTCTTAAGGGGATTAGATCATCCTATTCTACCACATCCAGGACCTAATCTAATACCCTATATTACTTTTTACCTCTTCTTCTATTTTGATGCATCAGAGTGAAACATCTCAAGCTTGTAAATGCCTCTAGAAGCTAATATCTTCCCAAGTTTGCTTGTTTTTCCTGTTCATTACTTCCCAACTGGCATTTAATAGGAGTAGAGGACAACCGCTTTTGTTAACTTACCTTGCCCACAAAAGGCGAAAGCCCTCGCCCCGGGGACCCCACACCCCGAACCGACAGGATTGTAGGGGGTAAATCACGGTGACTCAGCGGCCCATTAGTTGGGAGGACCAGTGCTTGGTGCCTATAAGGAGCCACCCCCACAAGAGGGTGAAACTCCCACACTTTGGCTACCAAGACTCGATCCTGCATTCTTGCCCACAATTTGCCACCCAGGAACCAATTGAGCTACCCGTGTGGGCTTTTTGTCAAATGCCTAATTATAGTGTGATGCATGTTTGAAGCTAATTTAGTTTCTTGTTGGTTGTAAAATGATATAGATGCATTTAGAATGCAATTTGTTATCTTCCTTCTCTGCTCTAATGCTTTCTTAAATTAACAGGCCATCATATAATAATTTTCTTACTGTTGAGCATATAACCATTAATGTGCAATCCAACTATAAGCTTAAGCTTTTAGTTGAGATGGAGCACATGTTTTTTCTTGCAATTGACAAATATTCCTTATTGGGCAGTGCAGGTTTTCCAGTCCTATGGCTGGACATTTCCACCGATTATTTTGTCTATACTGATCTCTAGCGGTCTTAAAGCTTTCCTTATGGCCTTAGCTCTTCCCGTAGGGCAATCAGTGCTTACCTTTTCATTTCAAAAGTTGTGGGGCTTGGCACAAAACAAACCAAGGCGCAAGAATCAGAAGAGGCCCCGGAACCGCACTCCCATAAACAATAACGTCAGGAGAAAAGGACAAAGGCCAAGCACTAGAAACGGAAAGACGGGTTATCGACCAGGGACCACGAGAGTTTATGACTCCCCTAGTAGGAACGACCAAGATGCACCTACTTTCGGTGGTTGGGACGAACTAGATCAAAGAAGGGACTTTAATATGGAGCCGCCTCAACCATCAGTTGGACCGTCGAGGACAGCTACAGAGAAAGGAAAGTTGAATAGGAGCGGGAGGGAAAATGGCGCACCCTTGTTGCTAAGGTTGCTGATTGCCGTTTTCCCGTTCTTGAGTTCATGGACTAAGATGCTATAGTTAGTCTGCTTTGATGTGGTTTCACTGACAACAGAGCTAAAGTTCTTTCCTGTAATTCATCAGGACATAGTATCCACACCAGTAAGCCTCATTTTGATTTGAACTGGGCTTAAAATATTTTTTGCACCATAAAAATTCCCAAAACTGGGTTCATAGATTCTATTCTTATTCTAACTTTTTGTATTCAAGAGAAATATAGGGAGTGTATTACTCATTCTTGTATTTGACTAAAGATTAGCTCCATGATGCAATGCTATTGGGTATATTAAGACTAATTTGATCTTCTGATCTAAATATGATGTAACTAACAACTTACAAACACAGAGAAAAGCTTTTTGGATTACAAAATCTACTCTTTAATTTCTTTATCACAGCATTTGATTTGCTAATCGTTTCTCCCATTTTTACCCAAAGTGGCTTTTCAATCCTTAGAATTCACTTTATCCTCAAGAGTCAAAAAGATACTACCAACTTTATGAGTGGTAAAAGGATGACGCTGATGCAAAACCAATCACCTTCTTGCTTCTTCTAACAAGCATTGAATCTTAGTTCATGCCAATTTAAAGTTGGAGCATAATGTATCATTATATTATATATATAACAAAGACTTGTCTTTTGCTTTGCTTTTGGGTCGTGCATATGTATCATACCATGACAACCATCATCCTACTGGCCGGCTGCTGAGTAATATAATCAAAATTTGCTCTCGGGAATCAACATACTGGTTCGTCACCTGACTTGATGCCACGATTGATGGCAGTAGTGGGAGTTCGAATCATACTGGAAACATGAATGAGAAAATGGCCCAATTGAAAGCGTGGATTAAATTCCTTGTGCCCGCATGAAAACTAGGGTCTGACCGATGCACTAATTAAGCTACTCTTGATTTACCTCTGCAGTGGCTCTAAGGGCGGGTCTTGTGGATTTAGGATTAGTCAGCGAAACTGAGATCACCTAAGAATGTGTATATATATAAGGGGAAGAAGATGAATTATTTGCATTTCTGTGTGAATTTTAATAAGGGGAAGAAGAATTTGGGATGAAGGATGAAAAATTATCATTATGACTTTATTTCTAACAATCAACTAACCGAATTTTTGACAAAAGACTAAATTATGTAAAATCATCAAAATCGATGATTAAATTGAGCACAAAAAATTATTTAGAACTAAATTGAATAAAACCACATGACTGAATATTAACTCAAATTTTATATTATATTTTCAAAAGAAAAGTGACCACAATGGTTGGTTGCAACGTATGGCTCATTTATGTGACTTCAATTTCATATACTCCACAACTAGCTAACGGAAAACACCCACGTAACGATTGCTATGATTGGCCGATCGATATTCAATTTTGATTTTTTTTTTTTTGGCAAACGTATTCAATTTTGAATTTCAAGCATGCACCGTTGCTTGTGGCATGTTTGGTTGCGCGTAATTTGGCTGTAGTTAAATTGCAATTCAGTGGAAGCCACAATTAAGCCGTTTGGTTGGAGAGAATTTCAATTCCACAGAATTGCAATTCCTTCCTTTTGCTGAATTGCAATTCATGGGCACCCCCCTATGAATTCCAATTCGGTGGTTGTGGGAAAAGGAAAAAGAGATGAAAGGACAAAAGTACCCTTAATTATTACTACTATTATTATTACACAAGGACATTTTAGTCTTTATATCACTTCTTTAATTCCCTACCCAATAATTCTATTCATTCATACCAAACAATGTAATTTGAATTCCTACTTTATTCTCACTTTTTTCTTTTTCTACCGAATTGCAATTCCTTTCCACCATAATTCCTTACTCCCAACCAAACGTTCTGTAAATGACAATATGGGGGCAAGAATACACAGCAAGAATTAGAAAAGGAAATAAGATGGATAAGATAAAGGGAAAATGAAATAATAATAATAATAATAATAATAATAATAATAATAATAATAATAATAATAATAATAATAATAATAATAATAATAATAATAATTGCTTCTTCTTCTTCTTTTTTTTTTGTTAAAAAGTTAAGAATGTATGCAGTCTAAAACAACTAAAAAGAAAAAGCATTGTATTCAAAAAAAAAAAATTAAAAAAAAAACATTAAAACAACCGGATATGTACAAGTGAAGAATTAAATATGTGAGGAAATTTCAATTTTGGTCATATGACTATAGGGGTCTTGTTAATTTCAGCCTCTGACTTTCAAAAGTGTCAATTTAGTATCATAACTATGCAATTTTCGTCAATTTTGGTCACTCCGGCCAAATTTCGCCGGAAAATTTTAATAGTTAAAATATTATGAGGATATTTTAGTCATTTCAACCCTCTTTTCTTCTTCTCCGGCGAGTCCATCCCTTTCTCTCCCGTTTTCGGCGTTCTTTCTCTCTGTAAACCCTATCTTTAATATCATCAAGCCTCCTTTCGGCATCATCTTAGTTCATTGTAATCGCTAGAAACGAGAGAGGAAGGGATAAACTCGCCTGGGAAGAAGAAAAGAGACGTGAAATGACCAGAATACCCTCATTATTTTAACAATTAAAATTTTTCGGAGAAAATTGGCCAGCAATTTGACTGGAGTGACCAAAATTGACAAAAATTGCATAGTTAAGGTACTAAATTGACACTGTTAAAAGTCAGGGACTAAAATTAACAAGACCCTTATAGTTATATGACCAAAATTGAAATTTCCTCTTAAATATGCATTTTCCCAAAAAGTAAAGAGAATAGGAGGTGAGATATGACAAATTCTCAAAATTTAATTTATTCCTTTTTTTTATATATATTATAAGTCTTCAACATTCAACAATTCATTAAATTTGAAATAATTTAAAATTCAAACTTTTGTTTAATTTCATTTAAAATGAACCAGGCAAAAAAAGAACTTGTTACGAATAACATCTTGTTGTTGGATCAAAACGTGTAAATGCTAACTAATTTCCTTGCCGCAGAACTTAGTAAAATGCAAGTGTTAAGCAACTGCTATAAAATGAGATGATTTAGAAATATACAACTGAGATTAGACATTGAATTTTAATTAGCAAAAATGCGTTTCTGACTTATTCAGAAGAAATTGATCGTTTCAATAGCATTCTATACAAATTAGTTATTGACAACAAAAAAAAACACGCAGATATCGACAATGTCGTATTCAATGCATAAGCTCCGTTCTTGCCTAAAAATATCCGAAATCACAATCACAATCTCTATATATCAATTCATTCACAAGATTCCCTCCTCTACAAATGACTTTTACTCCCACCTTTTAAGCTCCCAATAAATAAAAATGTTATTTTTCCTTTTTGAATTTCTCTGTTAAAGTTTAATTTCTGACATGATAATAATTTTTTTTTTCATATATTAAGTGCTATGAATTGATTGATCTTCTTATGAGTTTTTTTTTTTTTTTTTAATTTAAGAATTTACTTAACAATAAAGGGATGTTAGGTAAATAGTTGTTAGCTAATTGTGTTATTGGGTTTGATTAGTTGATAGCATTAGTTGATTATAGAAAGATATTTGGTAAATTATCTAATTACATGCAAAATGACTTTGGGGTGTTTGGCAAATAGTTGTTAGTTGATTGGTTAGTAAGTTTGACTAGTTGATAACATTAACTGATGATAGAAAAATGTTTGGTAAATTAGTTATTAGCTGATAGTTGATTACATGCAAAATGATTTTCTCAAAAAAGTGAAAAACTAATCGAAAAAGTTACTTTAAGCAGCTTTTTGAATTTTAACATTTTGGAGTAAGAAGTTGTTACAAAAAATTAATTAATCAAACACTCATATTGATTGTTTAACAAAGTCAAATAACTAATAGTGGTTAAATAAGCCAAAATTGACTAATAAGCTAACTACTTTACCAAAGCCAAAATATTAAAAATACCATCATGAGAGAAAAATTTTAAGAGGGGTTATAACATTACTCAAGCAAATTATTTTCTCTACGGTAAGCATTTGTTCAGCATGTTTGATTTATTAAATAAGTTTTAAATACCTTTAAAAAAAGTTTAAAATGGAATAGTATTCTTTAGAATATATCTATTCCGTTATTTGATTTTTTGGAAATATTATTATGTATTTATATGTGTGTGCACATATTTATTTATATATTTAAATATATCTAATGTTCAACGTATGAATATTTTGTCTTTTATAGGTCTATTCCAGGTCTATTGTTTAACCCAACCAAATACTGAAACATCATTTTTGAATCTATTAACAAAACAATAGAATAGGATTTCTATTGCACAAAATTCATATTGTACGTGAACAAAATACGCAATAAGTATTTTACTTTTTTTGAATCAATAATGATAGTTATAAAAATGCAATTAAAATAAACATAAAATAAACATATCACATCACATTATATAAACAAAATTTAAAATGCAATATTTTGGGGAAAAAAATCCACTATATTGGGATAATAGTATTACTATAATAAGGAGGTTATTACATAGTTAAGGACCCGAGTCTTATGAATTTGACCATTAGTGCATAATTTGAAAATTTAAAGTGTAACTTTTATTTTTAAAAATAAAAAACAAGACGACAAAATGAAGAAAAGTGTTTGTTCCCACAATATGGTAAGATAAAGGGAAATGACAAATTATATCAGAAAACCTTGTCCTCATGTTTACAATATCTTCTTTCAATCAACCAACCATTATTAATCTAAAACTTTTCATATATATGGAAGAGCTTCAATATCATTTTCTCTGAATTTACGTACACTACTAATTGTTACTATATAGTATAGTATTTGTAAACAATAATAATCCAAATAAATTATTTAACTTGAAGCAGCGGATTCAATTTTCCCCATTTGAATCCCAGGCTTGAGATAATCTTCTTCATGGTAATATGCAAACCCTCCATGGCGGGTCAAATCCATACCCGCCATTTCGTCATCGGGGGAGATTCGTAAAAGTTTTAGCTTATGAAGAATGTAGAAAAGGGGACCCATTGTAATGCTTACCCATCCCGATATTACGAGTATCTGGATTATGTGGGCTCCCAGTAACTTCCCACCGCCACCCATTAACAACCCGTATGGTCGACCCGGCACACCAGGGTAAACCTCGTTCACGTACTTCTTCTTGGCAAATAAGCCCGTGAAAATGATTCCCCATGCTCCACAACCGCCATGCAGTTGCGCCGCCTCCAATGGATCGTCGTATTTGAAGATTTCCGCCAGTTTGTTGCATCCGATTAAGACCAGAGCCGCCACAAACCCGCAAACGATCGCAGCCCACGGTTCTACGACGGAGCATCCGGACGTGATGGCGGCGAACCCGCCCAAGAGCCCGTTACACACATCCGTAACGTTCCAATGCCCTGACAAAACCCTTTTTCCAAAAAGGGTCGTAAGCGCCGCCATGCACCCGGCTAACGTTGTCGTCACGGCAGTCCGGCCCACAGCGCTCCACTGCCCGTAGTAGGCCCCACTTGAGTACGGGACAAATATCTTGTTAAATGAACCGGGATTAAATCCGTACCAACCGAACCACAGCATGAAAGTTCCTAACACAACTAGAGATGCACTATGGCCACGCAAAGCGACGGCCCGGCCTGATTGATCGAACCGGCCGATTCTCGGGCCTTCGATTAGGGCTCCATATAACCCGGCAATACCACCCACCATATGGACCACACCCGAGCCGGCAAAATCAATAACCCCAGAACCGAATAGTAAATTAGAGGCCTTAATCGGGCTGGCCCATCCATCTCCGGACCAAAACCAGTGAGACACAACCGGGTAAACAAACCCGGTGAGAAAAGCCGAGTAGATAAGATAAGCCACGAACTGCGTCCGCTCGGCTATGGAGCCGCTGGTGATCCCGGCGGCGGCGATTGCAAAAGCCCATTGATAAAGAAAGTTACTATAGTCAAAGGAGGAAGTAGGAACATCCTTCAAGCCGAAGAAATGGCTGCCGATGAAGCCGTTGGAGGGGGAGCCGAAGGCGAAGGCGAAGCCGAAGAGGTAGTAAAAGAGGCCGCCGGCGGCGGCGTCGAGAACGTTGGTGAGCATGATGTTCATGGTGTTCTTGGCGCGGACGGAGCCGGCGCAGAGCATGGCGAAGCCGAGCTGCATGGAGAAGACGAGGTACGCCGAGAAAAGGAGGTAGGTGGTGTCGATGGCGAATCCGGCGCCGATGAAGGCGGAGGAGACGTCGGAGAAGCGCTGGCAGATGTAGGCGGCGGCGTCGGTGGTGTTGGATCCTAGGAGTGGGGCCAGCTGGTCGGCTGAGCAGCTTAGAGCCGCGGCCATGGCTGAATAGAAGGTGATAAGGAGGGAATATTCTAGTGGGTGAACAAGGAAATGGAAAATAGATACCCAAAGGTGGTCATTGATTCCAATTTATGAGAGATTCCTGGGATTGTTTGGCTGTTTGCCAACTGGCAAACAGACATTGGCTTATTTTTCTTTGGAGTACTATTTAATATTTATGCATATTCATATTCATACAATCATAATATCTTATACCAAATATTAAATTTGTAAATATAGAATACTCTTTAGAATCCTTTTTAGTATTTTTTTTTTTTCTAAAATTTCTATATTACTCGTAATAGAGTTATTTTAGGGGTACAAGTTACTAAATAATAAATTAGAATTTTATTCATTCTACCCTAATATCAAATAATTAATATTTTATTATGACAAAAGCACCTTACTTAAATACCCAATTATGATTAACACCTTATTTAAGGGAAAAATCCCACCCACTATTCTCTATTACAAGATAATATTATTAAGGTTGATCCTTTGACCTTCCTTCAATGAGAGGGACAGATGTGTCAATTGAGCACAATGTATATGGTCATATATATTTTGTGAGTTATAACTGATATCAACAAATGACAATAAATTAAATTGGTAGTAGTAAATTAGGCATAAAATCCTTACCAAAAAAAAAAAAAAAAGGCATAAAATATTTGCTGTTATTAGTATCAAGATATATTTAACCTCTTCTTATAGTTAAAATAGAGCAAATTCTAATTTTAGTTCTCGACTATTGTAGTACTGCCACATTTAGTCATATTTTTAAAATTTTTCCACATTACATATTTGATTCTAATTTTTCCATCATTTATTTTTAATAAATATGGCTAACATGTAATTTTATAATTCAATTAAAATTATTTACAAGAGAGAGAAATTGCATGTTGGGATAAGATGTTTGAATTATAAAATTACATATTAACCATTTTTATTAAATAGTAAAATGATAAAAATTAAGAATGAGAAGGACTAACTATGGCTAACAAATAAAAGTAAAAGTTAAGGATTTAAAGAGACAAAATTAAAAGAGCATAATTAAATGTAACAATGTCATATTATTAATGACTAAAAGTAAAATTTGCTCGTTGAAATATTATTTGTAAATTTCTAATTGTTGAGGGTCGATCTTCAAATAGTTATTTAAATGAAATATGATGCTATTGAAATGGTAGACTAATCGTACAATAAAATTACTTGCTCTCCTAGCTAGACAAAGCCTTAATGTGAGAATTGAATGTTCAAAAAAAAAAAAGATCAAAATTTTTTATCAATTGAAAATATAGCAATTAGAATGATCCATCATTTTCATAAGAGAAACTTTTCAACAGCAACATTATGAAATGAGTAATTGCATATGTTTAGTGGGTATTTCATTTCATTTCTTGAAGATAGGTCATAGGAGAGCCCATCTCCACAGATTTTGAAAGCTTTTTAGTTCACACAACTGGCACTAAATTTCTATTGGATTGCACCAACTTGCATTGAATCTTCGTCCGATTGCATTGCTTTTTTATTGAGTTTTCTCTCCAACTATTTATTTGTTTTGGCAAGACGCATTTAATCAAATAATTAATTTCACTTTCCGTCCTATGATTGTTGGGGTTTTGTTAATTTCAATACACGACTTTTAAAATTGTCAATTTAGTACCTTAACTATTCAATTTTTATTGATTTTGATCACTCTGGCCTTAGTCCGGCCAAATTACCTGTCAAAATTCACTGAAAAAATTTAATAGGTAAAATAACGAAGATATTTTAAAGGAAAAAAAAAAAAAGAGAGAGAAGTAAAAAGACTAAAATACTCTCATTATTTTACATATTAATATTTTCTAGTAAATTTTGACCGAAGTGACCAAAATTGATAAAAATTGAACAATTTAAGTACTAAATTGACAATTTTTAAAATCATAGATTAACAAGACCTCAATAGTCATAAGACCAAAAGTGATACTAAGTCTTATGTTGTCAATTAGCTAAGATTTTATTTTCTACATCACTATGTAAGTATGTACTGTGGAGTTTGAAACCATAAAAGCAAATTGTTTAATTACACAAGTTTACAATATTAAAATCCTTCGGTTTACGCTCATAGGTCCTATGAATTATTTGTTTAAATAAACTAAAAACACGTTAAATATGTTGTTCAATTACTTAATCAATCATCAAGTTCCCCTTCATAAATTAATAAGTTTGACAAATAAGTGAAGCACACTTTAACTCACCCATATAAAGACATTTTACATATCGGAAAAATCGACTCTTCACCATTTATGGCAGACAAATACTCGTAACAATATAACATTAGGAAAGGATACACCACACCTTATGATTAGTACTGCTACAAAATTGGCCAATTGCTCTATGTTGTTAGCTCTTGGGTTTGAAGTCCCCCGTGGATTTTTACTCATTCAGTCGTTTGCACCTTTAGACTTTTTCCTCTGCTTTCGACGTTGCTCACGCTGACCTGTTGAAGTGAAGAAAATGTGTCTAATAGTACTGTGGTGAAGATAAGAGCATCTACATTATCAAACAATGCAAATATGACGACAAGGGGGTTCAAGGGGGTTCAATGATTGGAGGTGAGCAGAATTACGTTTTTTCGCTTCTTTTCTCTTTCTCCTTATGTTGTCTATGTTTTTCCGCTTTTCTGCAATCTCCTTCAAATCCAGATGTACCTAAGAGTAGAAACCAAAAAAACTGAGCCTTGTATCAAAATATACATTTTCTAATACATGGGATAACGAATTAATGAATAGATACAGATACATGGTTGACTAATCCCACAAATATCAAGAGCTCACTACATCTCATACAAGCATGCACAAATGGCAAAAAAGAACTTTCCACTCTTCAGAATGCCTTTCACCAAGCATGCCCAATGATCTTCCCTAAAGAAATTGGCCATATATACAACTAGATTAGACACAGATAGACAAGCAAAAATACCTCTGGACCAGCACTTCGAAGTGCCTGGAGAGGTTCCACACAATCTTGCCCAATAACCACCAGTTTCCTCCTTTGACCGTCTACAGTATTACTTATTTTGCCTTGTTTCAGCTTAGCTAGTTCCTCTAATTGGTTCTGCAGGAGAGGAGAAACCCCAGCCTGAAAAAGATTTAAACAACAAGATTACAAATGATACAGAAAGATGCATACCAAATTTCTGAAAAAAATAGACGTAATAAGACTCAACTATGAATCCAATCTGTCAACATAGGAAAATATAGAAGTGGTTAAACTCACCCCTGCCAAAAAGCGATTTGAAAATGTCGTGGGTTGTAATGGGAGAGAAAGAAGAGACTTCAGTTCCTGCAGTTTAAAATAAATGAATATAAAGTTAAAATATTGTGTTTGTGTTTGTGTTTTTGTGTGTATTATAAAATTACTAGAGAGTAAAAGAAGACCTGCTGCAGGTTCTTTAATTGAGAAGAAGTGGCTCTCTTTTGTTTAAAATTGTTTACCCTTTCCTCCTCACTATCATCATTCTCCAATTCCAACTCAACTGATTCAGCATGTCGTTCAAGCCAAGTTTTATTGGCCTTATCCTTAAAGAAGAGAATTCAGCAAAGAAAAAATTTAACTTTCTAAAAATTAAAACAGAAATATGCTGGAGGAGCTGATAAAGAAAGCATACATACTGCTGAAAATATCAAGTAAAAGCTCAGTTATTTTAAAGCCCAACATGATTGCAATAAACTCCAGTCCTTAGCAGTGAACTTGGAAGTAGGGACAATAAGAGAATTCAGCATTTTGTGCATGTGTTTTTTGAAGGAGAGGGAGTGGGGGAGGGGTGCAAAAATCAGTTGGAAACAACTATACGTGAGTGGGAATTCGAGTTCCAAGTCTAAAAGCATCAAGCAATTAGACAGCATATATGAGAGTAAATAAACACTAAAAGCCAAGATACATAACAAATGTTAGAAACAGGGTTTGAAAACATGATGCCTCATAAGAACATTGAATTATAGGCCTTCCACAACATATCACCTGAGAGTCTTTCCTAAGAATTTTGTCTATTTGGCGTGCAAGGGATAATCGTTTCATGACCTCCGGCATGTATGATATCTCTACAGGAAAACGCTGGAAGCTTTCCTGGACCCAAAATAAAAAAATATACATATATAAATAAATAAAAATAAAAATGAAAACACCACACTTCAGATTCTGTTTTGGTTTTTGATAGTTGTTTTTCTTTGTTTGACAAAAGAAGAAACCTCAAAGACTGAGGGAGGCAAAATTATGAAGTCAAGAAAAAGAAGTATTCATTTGCAGTGACTCAGTGAGATAAAATTAGCATCAAGCACAAAATGAAATATTATATTATTTTTAATGTAAAAAACCAGAGCTAAATCTTTCAGAGAAACAAATCTTGATAGGGTAAGATTTTTATCTTAAATCCTACTAGGACTCAACTTTGTTCAACTAGAATCTAAGGCCCTACTATTAGGAAAAATAAACGCAATCTACTTTTCAAGAAGAATTACCTTAGCAAAGGATTTGCATAGGGAAGCAAACTTTGATGCATCATTTGGAGAGATTAGGGCAATACTACACCCATCAGAGAAAGCTCTGGCAGTTCTTCCACTTCTATGAACGTAAACCTACCCAAATAACTCCATTTTTAAAGATTACAAAAATTATATCAAAGTGCATATGTATTAGGCAAATATCAACTTACCTCAGCTGAATGTGGAAGCTGGTAATGAACAACAGTTCGAACACCGGGAATATCAAGGCCTCTGGCTGCGACGTCAGTAGCAATAAGTATGCCATTTTCATTCGAGCGAAAACGATCGATTCCCTGTATAATAATGAGTAAGAACCAAATGAGAAGATCTACAAAAACAATATGTTGAATGGCTCAACTTCCATGGCCTATATACGTAGAGGTCTTTTGTTATTTGTATTTCTGATAATTGATTCTCTCCACATTCTCCCCCCTACTCTCGTTTATTTCTTCTCCCCTGTTCTCTATTCCTTTCCTCTCCCCTTCCCATCCGCCATCAATAAGAGATATCAGCTGATAGCACATATAACTGGAAATAAATCACGAAAAAGCTAACCTTTAGTCGTGCCCGCTGTTGCATCTGGGCATGAAGTGTCGAAACATTGATGCCAAGGATGCGCAACATTGAGGCAAGATGGCGTAATGCTGCAACAGATGTACAGAAAACAATTGTGCGCCCTTTCCCATGAACACTCAAGATATAATATAAATATCCATCTTTATCTTCTTCCCTGCACCTGCACCCAGAGTTCATGACCATTGTTTAAGTGAGCAAAACCAATACAAGGACCATGGTAACAGACTCATTTTTTTAAATATTGTATCCTATATGGTCAGACGAATAGATCTATTACAAATGTCAAGGTCTAGTATACATTTAGATACAATAAACTACAATACACCTTCTGATATTATGTTTCCGACAGAAGGGTAAAAATCTTGAGGTTATACTAATTCATTTACCAAGGCTTTTCATTTATTAAGTGTATCATAAGAAATTTAAATGGTAAACACAGACATATTAGACCATAAGCAAAATTTACAATATTTAACTACAAGGTGGTCAAGGTAAATTATGTAAAACAGTAATTAATTTGACAAATATGCAAACAACATGATGGAATGCAAGTGTGCAACATTTAAATAGTGAACGAGAATAAAGTCAATGGAATGCAAGTAGCAAATTTGACCAATAGACATAAACAACTTGATGAGGTTCAAGTAGCAACATTAAAAAGAAAGTAGAAAAGAAAGTCAACAGCCAACATGAAAATACAGGCCAATGCTAGATGAAGCCGATACAAAGCTGGGCAGGTCAGTTTTTTCTCTCTTTTTTCCTGTTGGAGAACATGTAATGGCAAGCATTATTGGGCACTATAACTTACTCAATGAATGACTCCATAAGCTTGTTTGCCATTATTGATGCATTTGTTAGGTCAACAATAGCAGCATCTGCTCGCATTCCTGCTCTCTCTGAAAGATTTTCAATTGAATTCAACTCATCATTAGACTTTGAAATTTGTGATCCACGCTTCAGCTTCTTCCGAAAATCGGCAGATAGGGAAATAGTTGCAGAAAAGACAAAAGTCTGCCTTTTCTTTCTTTGGACACTTGAAACTGTTATGCAATTCTGTGTTTCCATAGAATGTCCATCAGTTGATCTACTAGCCATGGGAAGCATGTCAACTATGGACTGCAACTCTTGAAAATGCCCAGTTTCTATCATGCGATCAGCCTCATCCAGCACAAAGAATGATAATGAATGTAGCTACAAATGGCAAAATATATCTTAGAAATATATTTTTCTTTGTACCACAACAACATTAATAAACTAAAAAATTAGCATTAACTGTGCAAAGAATGTGGATAAAATTATAAGGTATTATTTTGTTATTTTGACAGTATGGATGGGATGTTGAATCAAACTTTGAAAAGAAGGACAAACTCCAATTACCCTAGTTTTGTATAAGGATATCTATTTTGTTTTTAAATAAAAGAAACCATAGCAATATAGAGAGAAGAAGCATGTCTTTGCAACTACAGGTTTTTAATGCTGAACAAAGTCAAGTGAAGATAGCTGGGGCAATATGGTATATAGGATTACAGGGAGTTAAAAACAGTCGACCGATTCTCTTTCCAGTAATTGTTATGACAATTTTTTAATTCTTAATTGTTTGGCACAAGTATACTATAGTCAAGATGGCAAACGCTGACGGACCAAGCACATTACACACAGTTTCATCAACACCCTGTACCAGAAATAATCAATTAACAATCACACCCAGCCCAAATCATCTAATAAGATCCCATCTAATAACTATATACCTACCATGAAAAGAGCCCTTCTAGTTAAACCCAAAAGCTCCCCCAAAGAAAGAAGAAAAATTAACAAACTCAAAGTCTTTTATCCTGGTCTTTGGCAATCAGTAATTCTTCCCTGGCATTCCTTCCTATACAACAGTAGCATTGATTTTGATGTGTTGATCTAAAATCTTAAGCTTCTAAATTTTTTATTTTTCTCAAAACTTGAGTTTTAACTATTAAGCATGGTAGAAGAAAACTACATCATGAAAAGCAAGAGTCATACTCATTTGTACCATATTTTTAATCAGAATGTGACTTGAACCAGACAAAAAGTTCCTTCTCATTTTGTGTTTGTGCATTGGGGTTATGGGGAGACATACAGCTGTACATTTTTAAATATTTGGGAAGAAATAAGGATAACTGTTGGCCATGCAACATATTTTCATAAAGCAAGCGATACAGTATAAAATCCATCTCAATAAATCAGTAACTTAATTTGTCCCTGACTGTGCTAAAAACTTCATATCCTTTCCTACTTTTGAAGAAGGGAGGTTTTGGTATGAACACCTCCATGCACTCAACTTTTTCATAAACAAAAACTGATGGCTAACCTCTACAAGATGAACTTCTCCACTTGACATAAGTTCCCAGAGCCTCCCAGGAGTCCCGACCACAATTTCAGGTCTTCTTTTCAATAGTCTCTCTTGCTTTTCAGTAGACATGCCACCAACAATAGCAATGACCCTAATATTGGTGTGTTTTGCTACTTCCCTGATGTGATCAGTGACCTGGAGAGATTGTAACACTCACTAGTGGAGTAAAAGTAGCCTAATAGGAGTCACTTGTAATCACGCATACCTGAAGTGCAAGCTCTCTTGTAGGAGTAACAATTAGAGCCCGAAGAAGACCTCTAGGAGCTATTTTTTCATCTACCTCCCCATTTTCTTCAATACGTCTGTCAGCTTTTTCTTTCTCTTCAAGAAGGCGCTGAAGAATGGGTAAACCAAATGCAAGTGTTTTTCCAGATCCAGTCTCTGCAGCACCTACAACATCCTGTTACAATAACCAACAATTATTAATATATTGGCAAGGTACTTTATGACAACAAACCCCACTTGCATCACAGGTAGTCAGGTACAACCTTTCCTTGATGAGCAGCTGCAGGAATACAAGCTCTCTGTATTGGTGTGGGTTCCTTGAAATTCAGTCTGTATATTGATTTCATAAGCAGGGGATGAAGTCTCATTTCACTCCATGCATAAAATTCAGTCTCATCTACTGAATCCTCTTCATCATCATTTTTGTTGTTGGAAACTGAAATCGGAACATGTCCAAGACAACAATGAATTACATTAGACGCCAAAAGGGACAAGATGGAAAAACATATGTAAATATAAAATGGTACTCCATATTTAGCTGGAGTATGAACCATAAATTTAGTCAGCTGAACTGAAACCTTGCACAGTATTCAACAACCGAAAAGTTCAGCACCTAATACAGTGAAAAGGCAAATTCATGGAACAATTAAATACTCTAAAATTACCTCAGACAAGAAAAATAAAATAAATATGGAAGGCAAGACAAAACAATAAAAATTAAGTACAGTAACAAAAATAGTCTTTTCTAGTTATTACACTCTCTAAGGAATCAGGATGTAGGAACCATGGAGAGAAAGCACACAGCCATACAGGTATGTGGTTTTCTACAACATAACTTCTCAGCCAATCTTAGTATGAATAATGTTACCATTTTAATTGTATGCTGATAATGGGCACATGGGTGTTGAAGCATTTTCATATGCTGACTGTGTCGGGTCGCCAGGTGATAGGAGATCTACAACAGGAATACAGAATATTGTGTGTTTGTAGGAGGCAATTTGGTGTCGTGGAAGAGTAAGAAGCAGAATGTTGTGGCCCGCTCCAGTGCAAAGTCTGAGTACAGGGCTATGGCTCATGTGACTTGTGAGATAACGTGGATACACAATATTCTAGAAGAAGTTGGTGTAAGGGTAAATGTGCCGGTAACGGTAAGGTTATGGTGTGATAGCCCAGCTGCTATACACATCTCTAACAATCCTGTTTTCCATGAGCAAACCAAACACATTGAGGTAGATTGTCATTTTGTGCGAGAAAAGGTGCAACAAGGGTTGATTTGTGTTGGACATATCCAAAGTGGTGATCAACTAGCAGATGTGTTCACGAAAGGGCTTGGTAGGAGTAGGGTCGAGCACATTTGTAACAAGCTAAGCATGGTCAATATCTATGCTCTAGCTTGAGGGGAAATCTTGGAAGGTATTGAGGGAGGTTAAGAGAATAGCTCTCAACTACTCATTTAGAATTTGAAATGGGTGGTTGAGAGCTTGGTTAACCCTTCTACTAGCCTGTATAAATACTTGTCTTGTACAATTCCTTTTCTTCAGTTCAACATATACACAGTTAATATTCTACATTAATGTTAAATGATTCTCCATAGATTCAACAAATCACTCACCACGAAGTGGAAAATTCTGAATTTATTTTTAAAAATAAAACAAAAAGGCAAACCACTGATCTTCAATGCAATACACACCATAAAGTTTTGCATAGACAATCAAATGATCAATCACGTCATAATTCATATCAACAAATACCAAAGAATTAAAACTCTTAGTAAACAGTAAACATCAAATTCAGCACAACACTAACCAGCTGTTAATTCTGTATTTTCTTCTGTTTTATTCACCAGGCTACCCTTCTTCTTCTTACTTCTTTTCTTTTTCTTTTGTTTTATTTCCTCATCAGCTTTATCATCTCCCTCCTCACCATTGGAATCATCATAACTTTCACTAATTTTCTGCTTTTTTGTTTTTGGCTTTCCTTTGGATTTTGGCTCCTCATTTCCTCCACTCGACTTTGGAATCTCCAATCCGTATGTTGTTTCATCAACCTCCTCCAGCGATAAAAATCCTGCATTAAGTATTGATCAATAATAGATCAGGAAACAAAAAGGCTAAAGCAACAACAAATTTTACAGAAAGATATGGCCAAAACCAAATTTACATGAAAGGGAGATATGAGTACCTCCTCCGAGGTCATCGTCACCGAAGAGATGGGAGAATGCGTCATCGTTTTCAGGGAGCGAAGAATTCCATGGAAGTGAGTCGAGATGCTCGAGTAGTTCAGAGTCCTCTCGGGCTCGCTTTTTAGATTTTTTCTGCTTCTTCTTGCTATTCGAAGGTTGAGAAGCCATTAAAGAGCGTCTAAGGTTTGCAGAATGCAGGAAGATGTAGAACAGGGGGAATTAGGGTTTAAGTGTTTTAACGGACACTGCCGGCAGCCTGCATGCTGACGCAATCAAACAGCCGACGGTTAGAACCCGAATTGGGCTGAAAGGTATGGGCCCGTAACTCTGTAAGACTGTAATTACAAATGGATGCTCTTTTTAAGAGTTTTTTGCACTTTTAGTCCCACGATTATAGTGGCACTGACAGAATTTATCCATGACTTTTGAACCTTACAATTTTAGTCCACGATTATTGATTTTTTTGCAAAAATGGTCCTTCCGACCACTTTTCCTTCAAAATTTCACCGGAAAAAAAATCTTCATTTTTAGTCGGATTAAAATTGACATTTTACTTATCTCAAAAAATTAAAAGAAAAAAAATTGATATTTGACTACATACAATATTACTGGGCTACATACTACTGCCCCAGGCGGCGGAGTACATGTACCACTCCAATGCTGCTGCCGGATAACCCAACTAGCCCGGGGAACGCCACGGCCGCTCCGCCACTTACTGACAGCCCTGCTTGCTCCAGGAACTCCACCGCCTGGGGCAGTAGTATGTAGCCCAGTAATATTGTATGTCGTCAAATATCAATTTTTTGAGATAAGTAAAATGTCAATTTTAACCCGGCTACAAATGGAGAATTTTTTTTTCCCGGTGAAATTTTGAAGGAAAAGTGGCCGGAATGACCATTTTTGCAAAAAAAATCAATAGTCGTGGACTAAAATTACAAGGTTCAAAAGTCGTGGATCAATTCTATCAGTGCCACTATAATCGTGGGACTAAAAGTGCAAAAAACTCCTCTTTTTAATCGTTATACTAAAATATATTATTTGTGTAATAAATGTATATTATATAAAATAATATATTTTTAATATTCAAATAATGTGTTTTCATGATGGTATATTTTTAATATATTAAAAATACGTTATTTGATAGTATACAAAATAATGTATTTTTATCTTAAGATAATATACTTTTAGTACTTAAATAATGTACTTTTGTTTTATATATGATCCACATAATTGTTATACCATGGGTCAGGTTCCCCTTGCATTGTGAACCTTAGTACAAAACGACATTTAAATTTTATGAGTTTAGAGTTAACATATGTACCTTCAATTAATAAATTATTTGTTTATTACAATTAAAATATTATGTATATGTAGTTATTAACATGTTATATGTTTGATAAATTATGTACATGTAGTTAACATATTATGTACATTTAATTTTAAATTATTTGTAGTTAATATGTTCACTGTAAAGTAAACAATTAATTTGAATGTCATTTTGGACTAAGATCCACAATACAATGTAAACCTTGGTTCATGGTATAATCTACTTATCTACCTGCTCTTTTAGATTATACTCCCATTTTTACATTTTATAATGAAAATTGAAAGGCGAAATTCTAGTCAACATAATTATATATTTTTGTACACTTTTTTTTGAAAGCCAATCAAAGTGGTTATATTTATAAATAAACTGAAATAGAGTTAGGTGGGACATCGTCCCAGTACATAGCCGAAGTAAGAGTAAATGTTGTAGTAGCTAAAGTATACGCTAATAAATTTTGTAATATAGGAACAAAAACAACTGAGCATGAAGTAAAAGCAGACATGTAATTTCTGCAACTATCAATAGCATAGCCAATGTATGATCGAGATGGGTTGTCTGCGCAGATAAGTAGCACTGTAGCGTTTGGCAGTCCGTATGAAGCTGTATAGAGTGTTCACCTCGTGCCCTTAGCCAAGATAAGACCTCCTTACACGCAAACGCCTCGGCCATAAGCGGGAGAAACAACTCAGGATAGGTGCAATGAAGATTTTTGTAAACTTAAAACAATAGACTTTCATAAATGTTACTAGTGTTTTCTATATGCGATGTGCAAAAATAAGTGTCTAATATTAATACTTTATATTAAAATCATAGATTTATTTAGATTTTAGATATTTATATTATTATAAATAATAATAATAATATAATAATGATGTTTTTTATTTATTTATAAATTTGATATTTATATTTTAGAAAATAATTAACATATAAGTCTAATATGTAATGTGTATATATTGTTATTGAAGAAGAAAAAGATATATTATTGATGTATGTGTATGGTTTTAATAGTGGAACAATAGGGGTATGTTTGTTTAAAAGAATGTAACCAAAAAAAAAGGATATAAATAAATGATCATTCATTAACATTCATTAGATTTTAGGTTATATAATGGATAATGGATTTTAAATAATTTTTTAATAAAATTTCTTTAGAGTTTATAGATTATATAACAATTTACGGGGTGTTTGGCAATTACGGAGTAGTTGATTGTGTTAGTTGATAATTGATAACATTCTGTGTTAATTGTTTTGACTAAGTAATAATATTAACGGTTTGTAATAAGGTGTTTGATAAATTAAGTATTTATAACTAGTTGATTATTGATTATGCATAAAATGACTCATAGTAAGAGTATAATTTTTATATTTTTTTTGAAAAATAAGTGGTAATTCATTAGAAATAAGCCGCAATAATGTCAGGTAGGAAAAGATCCCAATACATAGCAGTAGAATGCTGGTAAGTTGTAGAAGCTAAAGTATGTGCTAAATAATTGTCTGATCTAGAAATAAAATTAAACGAATAGGACTCAAATAAAGACGCAGCTGCTCTGTAGCTATCAATGGCATGGCCGATGTAGGAACGAATTGCAGATAGTGGTGTAGTAAGATAACGTTGTAGCGTCAAACAATCTGTGTATAGCTCTATTGATCGCTCGCCCCGGTCCTTCAACCATGATAAAGCTTCCTTTCATGCGAATGCGTCGGCCATAAGTGGTGAGAAACAATCTGGGAGGGGGTGCACTGAACGCCGCAACATATCCCCCACCTATGTCGAGTAGAATTACACCTACCGTGGCCTTGCCCGTTTCGTGGATGAATCCGGCATCGACACGGCAAATCCTCGGTGGCGGCATGGTTTCCGTAGCAGTCGGCACCCCCGACTGTCCGTGTGGCAGTGGCGGTGGCTCGGCCGGCCCAGGCTGTTCCGATGACGTTCGGGCGTTGGTGGTGAGATGAGTTCGACACCATGCTTGCATGTTTGCAGCGGTAACCGCAAGTAATGTCCTTGATTGCGGAAGAAAGGCGTCCCAAACTGTTCCGTTTCGTGCTCCGCTTAATTTTTAATTTATTTAAGTATACTTCAACTATTATTATTTTTTAATTTTATTTGTTTTATGGCCAAATTGCGAGCATTTGTTGTCTCAAATTCCCACAATAAAAGCAATAACTAAGACTACGAATATCTTTCAGAAAAATTAAAACTAAGAATACTACAACTACGGTAGCAATACACTTATGAACACAAACCCATAATATTAGCAATGGCCAATGGGTCTAAAGGATTTCAATATTTACTTTAAATAAATATTAACAATGCAGAACTAAGGATGAAGGTAATAACGGGTGTGATACTTATTAAGTGACCAAACTCTTGGAAGAAAGAAGCTATGGAGCAATGGAATCTTCCAAATGATGGTGAAGTGAGGAAATGATGAAATAGGGAGGAAATAAGATTGAATTATTGGATTGAAATCTAAATTTAATTAGGTTATGAATTTTTATTTTTATTTTTGAATAAGAGTAATCAAATATTATACTTAATAATTTTGAAATGGAGAGTTTTTTTTTTATTTAATATTAATCAAATATTATACTTAATTTTTAAAAATTTAACTTTTATTCACATTCTTTGTGCCTACCTCCATAAACTAAACATACCTAATTTTAAAGAATTTCTAATTGTCAACAAGGCTAAATATGATATATATTTTAAAGTTAAAAAAATAGCAATCTTTATGAGAATTGAAAAAATACTATTTTTTACTTTTTACTTACTTAAAATTTTGATGATGACATTTTTTCTTGAAATTTACATGATGAAAATAACTCATCTCTAACTACATAAAAAATTGACAAAAAATAAAAGTGTAAAAGTGTAAGAGTGAGAGAATATAGAAATTAAAACTCATGGGAATTTAACGCTATAAATTGACTTTCACCTAGCCCCCAAAACCAAGAAAAGTTTCACCCAATTTACCTGTCTATAACTGCCTTATCGTTCATGCGTTTGGGGCCGACGGTCCCTTCTCCGATATCCGCCATTCGTCGGCGCTTTTCCCAATCACAGATCCATTCACCGACTGTAATGCCATTTCTGCTCCCCAGAACTGCCGTTATCTTCTTCAGTCGCGCAAGGACAATTTCGTCAATGGCAACTTCTACCGCCGCTTCTACAACCATCTCCTGCGCCGCTCCTAAGCCCGCTCGTCTGCGAGGCGTCGTGTTCGACATGGATGGCACCTTGACTGTTCCCGTCATCGACTTCCAGGCCATGTACAGGGCCGTTCTCGGCGAAGAAGAGTACCGTGCCGCCAAGTCGAAGAACCCCTCCGGCATCGACATTCTGCACCACATTGAGAGCTGGAGCCCCGATAAACAGCGGCGTGCTTACGAAATCATTGCCGATTATGAACAGCAAGGCCTCGATCGCCTCCAAATCATGCCCGGTTTGCCCCATCTTTCTAGTTTTCTAGTTTTAGTTGTTTATATATTTATGTATGCGAATAGTTAAATACAATTTTCTTAATGGGTGTGTGTGCCCTTCCCTCTTTGCACATCTTCTAATTGCTTGAATTTTAGTGCAGGTGCATCAGAGCTTTGTGGTTTTCTTGAGTCCAAGAATATCAAGTAAGATTCTCAGTTTCAGTTTTCTAAGCTGTGGCATCTAATTTATTAAGCAAATTCTCATAGCTTGTTCAATATGAATTACTAAATAATTCTGTGAATTCTCTCTTTCTTGGTGTGTAACTTAGTAGTGTGGGTTCACTGTTATTATCTGCTTTGATTTGACAATAACTTCTAGTTATCTGAAAGATAATTTGAATGCCTGATATTTTCCTTGAGCAGAGCTTGTATTGTGGGGATTTACTAGTGCACGTACAATGTTTAAGGGTGTTTTCTAAGCTGTGGCATCTAATTTATTAAGCAAATTCTCATAGCTTGTTCAATATGAATTACTAAATAATTCTGTAAATTCTCTCTTTCTTGGTGTGTAACTTAGTAGTGTGGGTTCAGTTTTCTAAGCTGTGGCATCTAATTTATTAAGCAAATTCTCATAGCTTGTTCAATATGAATTACTAAATAATTCTGTAAATTCTCTCTTTCTTGGTGTGTAACTTAGTAGTGTGTGTTCACTCTTATTATCTGCTTTGATTTGACAATAACTTCTAGTCATCTGAAAGATAATTTGAATGCCTGATATTTTCCTTGAGCAGAGCTTGTATTGAGGGGATTTACTAGTGCGTGTACAATGTTTAAGGGTGTATGTGAAGTTGGTTCTTACTATCAAGGAATCAAGTGTTGTTGTTTTAGAACTTCTGTTACAAATTAGTATAATCTGATTGCAGAAGCATGAATGATACCTGTCTTCTGGTGATTACACTTTATTGACTTGTAGTTTATTAATTTATTCTTGTTTTTGGCTTATAGCAATGATAGGCTTGCTGACTGTTTAAAGAACATAATAATGTGTAAACTCAATATCTGCCATAATTAAGTTCTGTACTTGCAAAAAGAAGGTTTGATTTTCAATATTTCTCCCTCTGTGAAATGGAGGATTTATATTCTTTGGTTTTGTTTGCAGAAGGGGATTAATTACTCGAAATGTCAAAGCAGCTGTAGATTTGTTTCATCAACGCTTTGGGGTGAGTTTTCCTTTCCTTATGCAGCTTGTACATTAATTGACTGGAAGTGCATCACTGTTCTTTGATCTATGTATGTCCTCTGCGTATTAGAAAATACTTGGAACTGCTTAATAGTTAAGAATATTTTGTTAAATCAACTAAGTATTTCAGCAATATAATGTTTTGACTTCTGATGTGTGTAATTGTTGCTTAAGAAAAGTAATATGAGGAACAAAGTAGTAGTGTAAACTTTGAAAATTTGATGGTACAATATGAGTTGAAGATATTGATAATTGGATTTTAGTACAAGTAAAATTGAAGTCTAATTGAATTGATGGAGGTGCATAGTCATTTGGATCACACTTCACTTGGACCATATAAATTGACTCAAATAGTTATTTGAATAATTAGGCGAATGTTATTAATTGGATTAATTATTTTGATTGGTTAGCTACATTAATTTAAGCCAATTACTTTGTGTATTTGCTTGATTAGGAAATTGGTTATAGGTTGATTGACCCATACAATAGCACAATTGCATAATGAAGGAGAAGGGAATGAGTTGTTGTCTCGTTGGTGTATGTGCAATTTTAGTTGGTGGGCCCAATAGTTGTATATGTAGTTTACTGAAGTAATATGTGGTGAAGCATTGAATTTGATCTAATGATTTTTGATTGAATTTGAAGAGGAATAATTATCTTTGATCTTGTGGATTTGTGGACATAATTGTTTCCCTGTGCATTTTGAAAAAAATCTTGCCATTATCTAATATATTCAATATTTAATATTTAATTATTAATATAGAGGTTATATCAAAAAATTTTAAGCCTATTTGAACTCGCCTATTCTCACAACTATAAATAGTGGTGAGAGTATAACAGTTTTAATAGGCTTAAAACATTTTTATATTATCTCTATATTAATAATTAAATATATTAGATAATATCAAGATTTATTCAGAATGCACCGCAACACTATTATGTCCAAATTCACAGTATCAAAGATAATTATTCCTCCTCAATTTTAATTAAAAAATATTAGATATAATCTCACTGGTTAAGCATATCCAAATATATTCATACACCACATATTACTTTGGTAAAATGCATATGCTGATATGCATATATAATAACTATTGGATCCAGCAGCTAAAATTGCACATAGACTAATGAGGCAAAAACAATTCTTTCCCTTCTTCATTACAAGAAAAGTTATATCTAGCAAAATTGCTATGGTTCCAGCTCAGAAAAAAGTATACTTGATTTATGTTGATATTGTTCCTATAATATAAATAAAGAAAAATGAACCTCTGAGTTTATTTTCCCAATGAATGAGATAACAGTTTACAGTTTGACCGAGTTCAGTTTCTCACTCTTTGGCACAAAACCACTGATATAAGTCTTGGTGAGTGGCAATGTGGCAGTTGAGTTTCCTGTGGATCCTTGTGATGGTGTGTAATCTAGTGCTGAATTGAAGGTTTCTGTGGTTATTAATTGTCTATTATATCAGCAGTTAGTTGTCTCTTCAGTGAAGTGGTTTTAGCTGATGCTGCATTTTCTAATTTTCCAAATTTAGCATGTTTTAAAATTAACTCATTGTTAATCCTATCTTATCAGAAATTTTATGATATATTTCCTAATTTTCCAAATTTAGCATGTTTTTCTAATTAACTCATCCTAAGCCCTACTGTATCGGCATTGTTATGACTTATGCAACAGTGTTATTTTCCTGCTTGAATTTCATATCCACAAATTGCTATATGTTCATGTACTCTTGTACACTTTGCCTTAGCGTTCACCACATTACCTCCCAACTCTGTTGTGCAATGATATTTAAGAAGCCAGATTCATTGGAAAAAATCAGTCACTGAGTTGCTTGAAATCATTGGTCTATGTGAGGTTGAAAGCATCAAAGCAGTATATACAGGTGATAGAGATCATTTCCCTTGGGAGAAGAGTTTTCTATGGATCATCTAACTATTATCTTAAGTGGTCTATGTGCCTGTTTCTTCCGTTAAACTTTCAGTGGTGCTGCCTCTATTTTGATGTGCATAAATCACCATTATGGCATAGGAATCGAGTGCTTATATTTATTTATTTTTACTTTTTGGGTTATATATAATATATGGGATGCAAATCTTATTTTGGCTGTAAAAGACAAGAACTGGATTAGGGGTATGAGAATGCATTTGAATTTGATGTGAGCTTCAAAATTTCTTGTTCAACTTGTACATTTACCACTTCTTGATTCTGGTGGATGGCAAATATTTTGTGTTTATTAATTTTGTTTTTTTAAAAATTCATTTCCATGATAAACGTCTTGAGATTTAACCTTAAGATCTGTATTTTTATACAGATGACATTTGCCCCTGCACTAAGTAGGGAATTTCGTCCTTACAAACCAGATCCAGCCCCATTGCTTCATATCTGTGCTACTTGGGATATTCAGCCTAATGAAGTGATGATGATAGGAGATAGCCTTAAAGATGATGTAAGTCATTTTATTCATTGCTTTGTGGGCTTTTGTGCCTTAAAAACAAAAACAATAATGTTCTGCAGATGATTTGAGTATTATTTGCAATTGATATGTTCTTTATTGCAGGTTGGCTGTGGGAAACGGGCTGGAGCATTTGCTTGCTTGCTTGATGAAACCGGGAGGTATAATTCTCCAGAATATGCGAATGTTGAATTTCAACCAGATTACAAGGTCTCTTCTCTTCTGGAAGTTCGTTCGTTGCTAGACACAAATTTTGACCTGACACCTTGATTTCCGAAATCCTGTGATTTCTTCATCTAAGGAGAGGCATTGAGAGTAACTCCAAAGATACTGGATGTGTTTGTATCTTAACCATGCATAGTTCATAGTGATAGAGCAAAAGCAGACCCGCTTAATTGGGTTGGTGTTCATAGTAGAAGTTCAATATACAAATTTTAGCTTCTTGATGTTTTGCTTGGGACATGAAGATTTTCCAGATAGCCCTGTATTATTGCTTGGGACACTTTCCAGGTGACTTGCTTGATGCAATTCATTCCAATTGTACATGTATTTTGAATCTTTGATCGAATATAGTTTTCAAGATTATGGGATATATGTGTCATCCTTTGAAGTGTTTAATACTTGCAACGAATAAATATCTTTTGTACTATATTCATAAATTGTATGATTTACTATACTCGTAATATAATATCATTCGATTGATAAATGTCGATAAAAATATTTTGACTTTACGTGATTGAGTTTGTTGGATTTGATGGATTCTCAACCTTTTCGGTCTGTCTCAATGTGATTGAGTTTGTTGCATTAAATGTAGTTATTGGGAGACCAATACATGTGCTATTGGGTGGTTTTCTCCTTAGCAAATTCATAGCTTGGTTTATTCATTTATGGTGAATTGGTAATCCCCTAATGACTTTCATTCTCTTTTCTTTATAGACATAGAAAAAAAAAAGACATATTAACTTAAAGTAAGCTAGTTAATTCTTATAGTTTTCAAAATGAGCCAATTCATTATTATAGAATCTAGGTTTTTTTATTTTTTTATTTTATTTTTTATTTTTTTATTATATAATATAATTCTTCATATGAACTTAAATATGAGTTAAGCAATTTGAGCCAATGTTCAACAAGTGGGTAATAACTTGTTTATGAATAATGGATACACGAATTGTATTTTTGAGAATACATACTCTTTTTTGCTTGTTTACGCAAAAAAATAAAAGAGAGAAATGTTACTCATTATTTTTAAAATTAATGATTAATCAACATATGCTTAACACACTCTTAATAAGAAGTAAAAGTGGCTATTACTTTAGCGACCAAGTAAAAATTCGACTCTCACCAACATCTTGAAGTTAGGATTTCCCAGGTTAGAGTTTGGATCTTTGGATTCCCGACTTTTACCAACATTTTGAAGCTAGGATACCTCAGGTTAGAGTTTGGGCCTTTGAGTTCCCGACTTTTACCAACATTTTGAAGCTAGGGTACCCCATGTTAGAGTTTGGGCCTTTGGGTTCTTTAAAAATGCGGAGATTAATTTCTTGTGCACGCAATCAAATAACATAAATTAATTAAGAGGCTATTTAAATGACTCGTAAAATTTTGGAGATTTAAGATTAATCTAGCTTAGTTGTGACATTAAAAGAATAGGCCAAAGATTTACCAATGTTATGTCAAAAGATTTCTGAAAAATCTTTATTGCCACATGTCACAAAGTTATTGGGGAATACCCACCTGAAAAAAAAACTGTCAAGAACAGAATTGGTTGATTTATGACTTGAATTTCTTGTTATATAAACCCCAAATTCCATACTCACCAGCTCTCTGCATAGTTTGAAAATAAAGACACCAAAGATGATTTGCTCTCGAGAAAGACAAGAAAAGGAAGAAGAATCCAATTCTGAGATGTTTCAGGAAAACAACGTTCAAGAAGAAGAAGAAGAAGAGGAGGATGAAAGATTCGATTCCGGCGGCGGCGCTATCCACCAACACCACCCCATCTCCGCCGCCAAACACCGCCCCACCACCAAAACCCCCGACAAATGCACCGCCTGTGGCTGCTCCATGAAACGCCCATCCCCCTCTCTCCAAGAACCCTCCCCCAAAAGGCTCTCTCTGCTTCCACCCTCCCCTTCTCTTCTCTACCGGAGCCTCTCCGAACCAATTGATTCTCTGGGTATACTCAACGCCGAGAATTCCAAGATTGCACCATCTCCGGTGAAGAATTCTGAGTCTCGGGATCGGCCGCCAATCCCTCCTCTCCATAGATCTTTATCTGACCCCACCGTCGCATTAGAGTTCCGGCCGCCGCTTGTCCCCTCTCCGCCTAGACCCATCAAATCCCCACCTAGCAGCTCCGCTCAAGGGAGTCCCAATACCAAGGTTAACACTAATAACTATATATTCTCTGAAAATTGATCCAAAAATCTTAACTACCAATATAATATAATACTTTTTGATTCTGGGACAAATTGCAGAGGCTTAAGAGGATGAAAGATAGACTGGGACAGATGAGACAATGGTGGGATCAAGTGTTGCAAGAAGAAGAAGATGAAGATTCCTATGCCGCAGAAGATAACAACTCAAAGGTCTGATTTTCTTCAATTCTTTAATCTTAAAACCCATGATTTATTGTGCAAAATCATGCAGGAGGAAGAGAAGGGAGAGGAGGCGAAAACGACGTCGTCATCCGCGGGGGAGGAATCAGTGTGGGTGGAGGAGAAAGGTGGGGAGGGCTTAGTGATCCACTTCAAGTGTCCATGCAAGAAAGGCTATGAGATCCTTCTTTCTGGAAACAAATGCTACTACAAACTCATGTAGTACTCTTCATCTTCAAAGTTTTGATCCATTTTCTGTGTAATTCATTTTCAATTCCTGGTTCAATCCACTGTGTAGTTGAATTGATTTCTTCAAAGTTTTGATCCAAAACACACTTTATAATCTTTCAATTTTCAAACTACTTTTAGTCCAACTGTTCTTATTTTGTGAAAATTTTATCAGATCTCACTCACCCTACTGCGTTTAATGGCATTCTGAACTAAAAACAATTGAGATAAGTTATGTGGCCAAATGTGTTGATTAATTAACAATTAAATTCGAAATGCTCATATAAACTGATAACTAAATTCGAAATTAGTGACACAACAAATATGGGGATGTTCAAAGGAGAAGGTAAAAGCTATTTGGTTGTTCATACCTCCAATTCATAAATTTAGGGAAAATAATTTGCACATAGCTAGGAACATACATTATTATTATTATTATTATTATTATTATTATTATTATTTTAAATACTCGTGATTCTTTAGAACATACATTATATTGATGCAGGCTTGCATAGGTTGCAAATTTAATTTAAAACTACTAATTTTTGTAAATAACTACTTTAAAAAAATATTAGTCAAATATCACGTATTAATTAGTGAATAAATGTTTAAAAAGAAAAAAAATAAATAAAATCATAAAGAGAAGCATGCAATATAAATAATCAATACATTATGCACAAAGGAAAAAAAAAATTAAAAAATTGCAAGCCTATAAAAAAATAAATACAATATACAAATTATTATATTTAACGAGAGAATTTAAATGCGTTAACAATCTAAAAGGTAAAAAGAGGAGAATGATCATTTGAATATACTTTGAAAACATTGACTCTTTGTGCTTCAAAGAAACTATGTATAAACAAATACTACATTGTAATAGAGTTAATAGTACTAAAAAAAAAAGAGAATTTATAAATGTACAACTTAACACTACAAATGATTACATGAACACTTTTATATAATTTTAGATTAGTTAGATATAATTTTAAGGAATTTCTAAAGTGATAATCAACATTGATGTTTTTTGTATTGTGTGGATCATAGTTCATACAGCTGTATGAACTATACTATCAAATAATATACATTCAATATACAAATAATGTATTTTTAGTATATTAAAAATGTACATTATATTAAAAAAAATATATTATTTAAATATTAAAAATATATTATTTTATATAATGTACCTTCAGTACACGAATAATGTACTTTTAATTATGATCTACGCAGAAGTCCACATAATTTGCCGCTACTACTTTAGTAGATTTCTCCTGAATAATTTTACAGTTTTAGCCTAATATTCAAACAGCCCAAAATTCAGCCCATAGCGGAATCTCCTTATAAGAAGCTGAACAATACACTCTCCGCCGGCGAAGATCATCTTCTTCCATTTCGTTTCTTCCCAGAGATCCTATCCTCACGGTGCCGCTGCCTCTAGGTATTCTCTATCTTCTCTCTCCTCCACTCTCTTATGCATTTTTTTTTTTTTTTTCGTTTCTGTAATTTGGTGGGTAATCTAGCATTCTATTCCTCTTTCAAAGCTTCTTGTCATCAATGATGAGTGAGTTATGGGTTCAAATCCAAGAATACATCCATCCAAGAAACACCCTTTCACCAATCTAGCTACTTCCTTTGGTCCCCCATCAAAGGGTTGTATTTTTTTTTCTTCTCCAAGTAAACGAAAATTTACAAAAAGGAATTGAACAATCTGATCTATAACTTTCATATGTTAATTTGTTTGGAAATTGATGTAATGGGTTTTGATGTTTTGACCAAAATTTGTCGTTTTTAGTTTGTATTGTCATTGTTACTGTTATGAGTGATGAGTGATATTAATGTTGTAGAGTAGCAGTCACTGAAAAGAGAAATTGGTAGCCCTTTTCACTTAGTACTTTTCAATTGGTAGCTTTGTGTTATAGCCACACTAATTAGTGTAGCAATATTGCTAGTCAGAATGGAAACCCTAGGCTCATTAGATGCATCAGATGAATATCCTCCCACTAGAATCCTGGTGCGCCCAAATAGGAAGCCTCGCATTGTGATAGAAGACTATATGCCTGCTCTGGAAGCGTATCTGCCCAGAGAAGCGGAACCAATTGATATGAATTTGATACGGGAAATCAACGAGAGATTGGCATCTATGATGGAAGATGTGAGGGTGATGAAGCGGCGGCTGACTCGAATCATGATACTGCAGTTGCTTTGCTTGTTGGTTGCAATATCTGGGTTGGTTGTCAAACTGTTTAGGAAGTAGTAAGTAGCAGTGTTGTATCATATTGGCAGAGTTTTTATGGGATGTGTTGTGTAGCTTAACATGAGTCATTTGTTAATCTTGAAATGACCCTGCTAGGATGTATGTGGAGATTTGAGATGTAAGAATGACTATCTTCTGTTAATAGTAGCAGTTTGCTGACCTTAATTGTGCAATGGACTTGGCTGCTTCTGTATTTGCTTTTCTTTCATTGCCTAGTTTTCATTTGGACATTCCTAGGTTGAGATATGGTCAAAATACCGAACAGTGCTTGGTTTTGGACTGTAAGTTTGAAACTTCAACTTCAAGGACGATTCCGACCACTGTGGCTTCCTTTTAGGTTTTGATATATTTATAAGAGTTGTAGCCCTTTGAGTCTTCTTTCCAATGGAACATAAAACACTTAATTTGGATATTTCTAGGTCGAGATATGGTCCAAAGACCAAGCTGTGGTCATGTTATGCAAGAATTTCAACTCTTTGATATTTTGCTCCACCTTTGTCTTGGTTTGCCCATATGATCAAAACCATTGAAAACACCACTCTTAGGCTTCCTTAGGCTTCCTTGTAAGTGTTGCATCCATCTCTATAGCTTCATGTTTGGATCCCTTGGACTTCAAATGCATCCAAATTGCTCCAAAATTCTCCACTTCTACTCAAAGGTGATGCATTGTGCCTAATTGGTCAAATGAGCAAACTAAGGATCATTTTGAACATCATTGTGACACTTCATAAGAAAAATAAGGCTAAGTATAAGGTAGATATGGGGTATAAATATGAACAATTATGCACTTATCACTTTCGTTCTTGCGTGGTCAGGGACTGCGGGGGTTTGTTGATGGAACGGTCTCGTGTCCGGAGTTACTGGTTGCTCCCGCCGCGGATACTGATGCCGCCATCGTTCCCAATTCATCGTTGACGGCGCGGGCTTCCAGGCTTCAACAAGACCAGGCCATCTTATCAATGTTGATCTCCGATGACGGGGCGGGCTTTCAGGCTTCAACAAGACCAGGCCATCTTATCAATGTTGATCTCCTCTCTATATGAGGAGGTCATGCACTTAGCGGTCGGAAAGGCAACATCGCGGTAGCTTTGGCTCTCCGTTGAGCAGTCCTTGGGTTCGGCTACACGGGCCGGGGCGACCTTGTGGTCCCATGACACCAACTTGAACTCTCACATGGGAGCTTGGGGTTCGAGCCTCAGTAGAGGTGCTATTGATTCTCTGCTTCAGTAGGTTGAGAAAGTAGTTATGAGCAGATACTGCATTGTAATAGAGTTAATAGTATTCAAAAAAAAATTGAGTTTTTTAATGATATATTTTTTATACACTAATTTTATTTGAAAAAAAAAAAGAGAAAAATAAATTTAAGGAGAAAAAAATAGGAATTGCTTATTGGTACATAACTACACACCATTGTCTATGATATAATTCTTCAAGTTAAAGAATTTTTATAAAAACTTTTTGAGTTTTAGGGTCTAATTGTGTTGTTATCCATTTGCAAAATATTTAATTAGTAATACATTGGCTTGATTTGATATGAGGAGATGAATAAAGGCAACAATATTAGCTTTGATGGTGGATCTGCCAAGACTTTGGCGGATTCACCAATTTTGGCGTTGTTGACCACTTGGCGTTTTGACTTGGTCAACAACAAAACTAAAACTAATAATTATATTATAATAATTATTATAATTATTATAACAACAACAACAATAATAATAATAATAATAATAATAATAATAATAATAATTTCGTATTATTATAATAGTTATTGTAGCAATGTCCTTATATGTCTTTTTACACCTCAACCGCTAATATAAGCACTTAGTTTTACCAAACATTTTTTTTACAACCCGCTAATACAATCCGTTATCTGATAATCACTAACACAATCTGCTATCGCTAACCACTGATAACTAAACAAGTCCATTGTGTAAAAATTACGGTGGTAAAACAAAGATTTATCATCTTTTAAAATTTAAATTGATTGGGAGTTCAATGGATGAGTGTATGACATCAACATGACATAACAAATTTTATAAAAGTAAAAGGAATAAGGTTCAAATTGGTCACTGAACGTAACCTGAAAATGCAATTAGGCCACTGAACGAAAAAAAAAGTGCAATTAGGCCACTGAACACTCCAAAAATGTGCAATTTCACCTGATAGCAGGTTACCCTCAATTTTAGCAGGTTATCTGCTTACGTAGCAGCTGAGTTGGCATTTTTAATAAATTTTAATTAATTTTTAATTTTTAATAAATTTTAATAATAACTTTTTATTAAATTTTTTTAAAACAATAAAAATGACTTTATTTTATTTTTTATTTAATTTTTTCCAATTTTTTATAAAATTTATTATTAAAATTAATTATTAAAAATTATTTAAAAATTATTAAAAATGCCAACTAAGTTGCCACGTAAGCAGGTAATCTGCTAAAATTGATGGTAACTTGCTATCCGGTAAAATTGCATACGTTTGGAGAGTTCAGTGGCCTAATTGCACATTTTTTGAGTGTTCAATGGCCTAATTGCACTTTTTTTTTTTCGTTCAGTGGCCTAATTGCATTTTCAGGTTACGTTCAGTGCCAATTTGAACCTTATTCCAAAGTAAAATATGGCAAAAGTCAAATAAATTCTAAAACATTTTTTTTAAAATATAATTAAGTCATTAAACTAAAAAATTTCAAAGAAACACTGGAACTCTAAAAAAAAATAATGCAATTATATTTTTTTTTATATACCTATTCTTGTAAGTAAAAAAATAATGCAATTAGATTTTTTTTATACCTATTCTTGTAAGTAAAAATCAAGTTATCCATTACCTAAGATGTTCAAATAAAAAATTGTTTGATGTGATAACAACACTAGCATCACCACCCATGGATTTTTGGGGTGAGTTGGATGAAAGAGATAAGAGAGGATAAAGAAGAGATTTGATTAAAGTTACATGGTGTTTGGTTGGAATGAAAGTTTTAGGGTGGAAATAAATTGTATTCGGTGGTAAAAGAATATGGTAAGAATAAAGTAGGAATTTAAATTATATTGGCTTTGTTTGGCAAATCAGCGGTAGCGGTTAGCATTAGCGGATCATATTAGCGGTTCACAAATAGCGGATTGTATTAGCGAGTTTGACCAGCAGATTGTATCAGCGGTTTGTAAAAGATGTTTGATAAAATTAGCTGTTTAGATTAGCGGCTAACATGTAAAAAGATCTAAAAGGACATTCATAACAATAATAATAATATTATTATTATTAACTTCATTATGTAATAATAAAATAAAAAATAAATAATACTACCTAACAAGATCAAAATAATAATAATTATAACAAGACAACAACAACTATTATAATAATAACAACAACAACAACAATAATAATAAGAGAAATAGGGGGTTGAACTCCTCTATAAAAGGAGTTCAACTCCCCTATTTCCAAACCTTCCCCATCTGATGTGTTCCCACATCGAATGGGGAAGGCGAAAGGAGCCTGAGGCTCATTTATTTAAATGAGCCTTAGGCTCTTGTGTTATTACTTAATTTTTTATTTTTTTTTTATATGGTAGAGGGCGTTTTGGGGAAGGAAAATCCTTACCCAAAACGCTAACCGTAAATGCTGCACTTTGCAACGTTTGGGATTTCAGCGGTTTGCTCTAAACCGCTGCTCCAAATCGCTGACTAACCAAACAAAGTTTTTGGCCTTTTGACGTGGTCAAAACGCCAAAAACGGCGAATTTGCCAAAATTTTGTCGGATCCGTCATTAACCAAATAAGTCCATTGTTTGGTAGGAAACCGCCTTAGTGGTTTTTTTTTTTTTTTTTTTTTTTTTTTTTTTTTTTTTTTTTTTTTTTAAGATCCATTGGAAAAAATAGAGACAAGTTATGAATGTAATTGCAATTTTGATTTTTTTTTTTGAAATACTTTTATACTTTCTTAAATATTTTCAGTCTAAAAAATCTAAGTCCCATCACCGAGGTTTGAACCTATAACTATCTATTTGGATGAGCAATCGGGATGCTATCATACTACATGGTAGTTGACTAATTGTAATTTTGATAATAAGACATCTTATATTCAATTTCCTATCCTTTTTTTTTTTTTGGAAAGGAAAACAGGAACATTCATTATTGTAGATCCAAAACTCAAAGCATTACAATTGAGATCGGAAGGGTAATTACGTCACTCCATGCAACCTGGGGAAATTATACATGACAATGTTCCATAGTGCATTATGTATTGTAGCTAACATATTATGTCTCTGCAATTAACAGATTATATGCATGTCAATAAATTAAAAGTACATAATATGTTAACGGTAGGCATTTAATATGCACTTAACATCTTATGTGCCTATAGTTAACAAATTATGTGTTTTAAATTTATTTACATGCACATAATTTATTAACTGAAGATACATAATATATTAACAGCATACACATAATTTTTGGTCCAAAGTTCACAATACAAGGTAGACCCTATTCCATGGTGTAACGATTGATGCAACCTGGGATAGAAACAAACTCATAGGCTAATATGTGAGTAGTCTGATTCGCAATCGCTTAACAAACATAAAGAAAACCTGAATAAAATACATCATCATTTCTTTAATATTAGAAGCTGTTCAAGTTTATTAGCACCTGTCAAACACAAAAGAAAAGTTGTGATTATATTAAAGACTAATTTAAGTGTTTGATGGTATTTGGCAAAGGAAATTTTACAGCTTGGTTATTAATTCATATGATAATTCTTCCTTGACAACATGAGTGGTCACCACTGAGCTGTTTTAACAGCAAAACAGTGTCACAAAACTACAGTACCAGAATAATGTCTCAAAGAGACACAAACATTGTATTGGTTGAGACCCTTCTTTGGCTCCCAACTAATTAACTTCACACTAAAGGGACCAGAAAAACCAAAACTCAAAAGGGTAAATTGAAGTGATTTATTTTCATTTCTTGATTATTAGGATCAGTAGAAAGGAGCAGCAATAGGTTGCAGGCTGCAGATTTTATTTGCTGCACTCACAGCACAGAAATTGCCCTGAAACTCATCCAAATTCCACAGCCCATCCCACATGATAGAGTCCTGATTATCATTTGAGGATAATAAGGCCTCTGGCAATGATGGTATATAGCCATTCATGAGTGAGAAGAAGAAGCCCTGATCTTGATCTGGGTAAAAAACACCTCCCTGACCCTGAGGGATGACAGTTGGGGCTGTCACTCTGGTTTCATTGTTTTCATCAAATAACAAAGGTTTGACCTTTTTGGTGTCTGTTTGATGAATGTTGTACTGTTGTTGTTGTTGTTGTTGAAGCTGTTGCAGGTGAAACTGCTGCTTTCTGAGAAGGCGGGCTCGCGATTTCTCGGTGTTGTCTGCTGCAGAGCTCTTGGCCTTCTTCTTGAAATGAGTCCTCCAGTAGTTCTTGATCTCATTGTCTGTTCTTCCTGGCAAGCTTCTTGCAATTGTTGACCACCTATGACACAGTTTTTGCTTGTCAGTCAAAGGTTGTTGTATTGGACAATTGGTATATATAAGCTATGCTTTTAGACTAGACCAATTAACCTGGCCCGATGGTTATACCATGGACCAGGGTCGACCTTACATTGCGGATCCTTATTAAAGAATTGTGTCTACAGTGAACATATTATGTGTTTTTAGTTAATAAATTATGTGTCTGTAAATAGATTGAAGACAAATCATCTTGATTAGTGTGAATGATCGTGCAGACACTTAATAGTTAATAGTTAACTGCAGGTACACAATTTGAATATTATTTTAGACCAGAATTCACAATAAAAGGTGGAACCTGATCCATGTATAATTTGCCCACCTGGCCAAATAACTACAAAGTCTCAGTAAACATTGCTTATCACTATGTTGAACATTTAATACTGTTTGAATGAACTCATTTTTAGTTTATTCTGACTTAATTAACACTAGTTGATATATATTATATTTTCAGTTTTATTTATATTTATATTAAATTAGATCAACATATGAAAAAATAAATTATGACATCTTTTAAAATGCTTTGAGTTTATTTCTAGAAGCTACTTCATAGAGTTTTTTTTTTTTTTTTTTTTTTTTTAAATATTAAAAAAAGGTAAAAATAAGAAAAATAATTTATGATCCACCAAGAAAAATTTTTACTTATCATATCCGAATCATTAAAATAAGACTCTAAAAGTATAATCTTATTTTAAATACTTTTTTAGAGTCTTAATGAGTGATTCATGATCCACCAAGGTGATCTAGACATTACCATAATGAAGATTTAATTCAAATTTAATGAATATTTTAATGATGGACATCATCATTCATCATAGAATTTATTACAATTAAATGTGATGCACATGTCTAGTTTTGAGTCTCATCATGCTCAGTTAGCCTTAGCTAGTTTCTGCAAATATAATTTGTTAATTGTGCTTACTATATATATTGTAAGAAACATTTAAAAATTATTTAAAACGAATTTGGATATAAGTTTGTCTAGAATTGATTAACAAAACTAAGACAATTAATAAATTATTAATGTATTATGATGATTATATCAAAAGAATTAATTTATTTTACTATCAATATAATTGATACCGAATTACCGATCATAAAATTTTTAACTGATAAAAAGATCAGATCCAAAAATCTTACCTATTTCCCCATTTAGCATGTAACTCAATAATGATTCTCTCTTCATGAGGTGTTATTTGCCCTCTCTTGAGGTCTGGTCTCAAGTAATTCACCCATCTCAACCTACAACTTTTTCCATTTCTCTTCAACCCTATCCATGCAAAGATGAAGAACAAAAAAGTTAAAAATCAAATTTCTTGAAAATGAAAATATTCTTTGAAATTGTTTGACTTAAATGAAAAAATATATAAAAACATTAAATGAACTATTCAAAAACAATACAATTTTAAAAGTAACTAGTACGCATTTCAGTCAAAATCCTGACGCATACAAGCTATAAAAAAACAGTTAAAATACGATATGTTGAAATCCTATCTATCAATAGAAACTGGTAGCTACAACTTGATTTAATTTGGCTTGTAGCTAGCCACCCACATGCAACAAATTCAATTAAAGATAGAATTTTTTCAAGAAAAGATACAACATATTACATATATAACAAGCAAGTGTGATTAATATATATATATATATATATATATATATATATATATATATATATTACCTTGAAGCTTAGCAACAGAGTTCCACCTCCCTTCACCATGCAACTTGACATATTGAATAAGCAATCTGTCTTCTTCAGCAGTCCATGGCCCTTTCCTCCACCCTTCATTTAACACCCCCCACCCCATCATTTCTTCTGCTGCTACCATCATCCCTATAGACATATTATATATATTCTATAATATATAACCCTTTAATTTGGATCTTATAAGGTAATAAGCTTTACTTACTTATTACCTTTGTGTCTCTCCTCAAGAAATTCTATATGACATAATGTGTTGGGGGGCTTGTTTCATATTTATATTTGGAACCAAACCCCTTTACTAATCACTTCATTCCATCTATCAATTCTTTTTCTTTTCTTTAATCTCTTAATAAATGTCATTTTCATATGATCACCCCTCAGCTCTCACAGAATGATCTGTATTATGCCATTTTGCTTTTCAAATTTTACCAAAACACCCTTCTCATAAAATTAAAAATTTAAAAGAGAGATCATATAAGATTTTGCTTGCCCACACTGCACATATATCCAGCATCATATCTAATATATTTTCCACTATGCCATTAATTTCTTTGAATCAAACCGGCCTACTATATATTCTTTTACCATTTTTAGTAACTAGTACAAGTATTCTATAAACATAAATATTAATTCTTCCAAAAGGCATTTGGGAGAATGTAAATCATGGTGACTCAACTGAACATGAACCACACAGGCTAGACTGATGAGACTCGATCCCTGGTCATTCTTTCAAAGTTTCACCTCTATGACTAGTTGAGCTACCCATGCAGGCAAACATAAATATTAATTAACCAGTTTGGTTGGCGTGAGTGACCATGCACTCTTGTCCCTTAAGAAAGGTCGGGAGTTCGAACCCCCTCTTTTATGGAAAGACTAATCTGGCCAACACTTTGCCCTAATTGGGCCACCTTGTGGTAAACATATATATTACTCTAATTTAATTTATCTTTTAGTTATATTTAATTGTAATTTCCCTCAACATATTAATTGTTGCAATAAATAAATAAAAATCTTAATTAACCAAACTCAACATAAAATGCCCAGATCGGATTTTTCATAAGTATTCAACTTTTTGTCATATATATTATACTACAATTTTCCTCATAAGTAACTCTTCCCCTCCTAATATTATATTTTGATTTAAAAATATTACATTTGTCATAAAAAAAATATCACATTTTCCTTCGTAAGTATTACACTTTCTCTCATAAAATTGAATTGACAATGTACTTAAAAGGGTACTTGAGGAACTAAAAAAGAATGCTAAGGGATTGGGTGACATGATGGGATCAAAAACAAATCACATAAGCATTAGCTTGATGTTAAGTAAGCTAAAAGAGACTAAGTTTTCATGGGTAATGGCCACGTATAGCATAAAATAGGGCTAAATAATGCATCTAGACACAAAAGGAATCCATAAAAAGCATTGTCTTATATTATTTTTTGCAATTAATTTTATAAAAACAATTTAATCAAAAAATAATACAAGTGGGTAGCTAATTCTTTAATTTAAACCTGAAAGCCATTGGGTGGCCAATGGGAATTCACCAGGTTGCACATTTGTTACTTCTTTGTATGGGTATCCCTCATATTTTACCAAAAAGAAAGATGAAGAAGAAAGAGATAGATACAAGATAGTCACCCATCTTTTGTGTATTGAAGAATAATTTATTGAATTAATTATAATTTGGTGGATACTATTTTGGGCATTTATACATAAAATATTGGAGCAAGCGTGGCCTTACTACGTCATTTGGGGAACAGGTGGAATTGCAGTAATGATTTTTGTAACCACAAAAGCCAAAGACTAGATAATGCTTGCTGATCAAACTCATCAGCTTCACACTAGCTAGGTTACAATTTTTTGGATCACAAGATCCCAAGGTCTGCCAAGAATTGTTCAAGAGTTTAAAATTGTCATTTCTTAAGTATTATAATATCTTGTGATAATTATAAATTGGGAAAATGACACTTTTTCTTCCCGTGTTATATATTCCCTCCGTCCCATTTTCCATGTCTTACTTTCCTTTTTAGTTTGTCCCAAAATGTTGTCCTCTTTCCAAAATTGAACATCAACATCATTCTACTTTTCCAATTTACCCTTATGACTTTTGCTTTTATTTCCAAAAGTAAGAAAAGTGAAGGGCATAATTGGGAAATGACATAACATTTACTTTAATTCCTTAAAAAGCGTGTAAAAAGCAAATGAGACAACCATTTCGGGACGGAGGGAGTATTTAAAGTACTTTTTTCTCCTGAATTATTTAAGTGGCAGTTCTCCCGTTATGTTAAATGGACATATTTATCCATAAAATAAATATTTCATTTATTTTTCTTCACCAACAAATTATAACCACGATTTGGTTCAAACCGAATAGACACTGTAGCAACCAGACATAAAGGTTATGATGACAATTTAGAATCAGAACCCGATATTTAGAGTTTATTAAAAGTGTGAACCGAAACTGCCAGTTCATGTTCTGAATTGAAAAAATAAAATACATTAATTGTTGAATTTAGAATATTTTTTTTAAAAAAAAATTTAAAAAAAGTTTGAACCAGCAGTTCAAATTGGATCCGAAACCGTGAACCGACGGTTCAAAATCAATCTAAATTGCGGTTATATATACTTATATGTGAAAATCAGAATAAATGCGAAAAAGAACATACACTATTTGCAAATATTATAATTCTAATTTTAAGCTAATACTAGTAGTTTTTCCGATTCGAACCTCCGGTTCACGGTTCAGGATCCAGTTTTTTTAGTTCACCATTTTAATAAATTGAAACCCAAATATTGGGTTCTGGTTCTGAATCATAACCGAAAAATTTCAATTTGATTGCTATGATATCTGGTTCAGTTCGAACCGAACCGTGGTCATCCCTACGTATAAGCAATAATTTGTTGAAGAAACCCGCATGGGCAGCTCAACTGGCCACAGAGGTGAAACTTTGGAAGAATGACCAGGGATCGAGTCTCATCAGCGGCAGTGTGGGAGCAACCTCTCAAAGTGAGGGGGGTTCCTTGTGCGCAGTGAGCACATGATTTACATCCTCCTAGATACTTTGTCGGGTTGGGGTTCTTCCTTTTGGAAGAAAAATAAATAAAATATTTATTTTAAGGGTAGAAATGTCAATTTAATATATCAGGGGAGAAAACTGTCACTTTTATAATAATTGAGGGGGCTAATGTAGATACATGAATAATTTAGGAGGAAAAAGTATTATAAGCATATAATTCAGGGAAAAACATGTCATTTTCTCTTATAAATTTAAATTTAAAATTTTGATAATTTAACATTAAATATTTATGGAAAGTAGTATGCGGATGTTGAAAAGCTCCGGTGGCACTTGAATTGAGTACAAGTTAAACGTTTTTAAAAATGACTTAGTTCGTACTGGGTACTATGAAGATAATATAATGTTTCCCGCAATATCTGATACAAACTCAAAACCTTCACCATTTAATTTGGGGTGGTACCGAGTGCAAGATGCACCAATGATGATTGTCACTTTAGAATTTTTCTGAATATATATTTATATCATGTGACAATTATATCCACTTATAATAATTCAACTCCTTTAACTTAAGAATATATTACTATGGTGATTTAATTGTTTAAACATCTCTATATATAATGTTGGGTTTCAAGGACAACATGCTCCCATCTAAAAAGTGTGAATTAATTTAATTAATTCATTTCGCTAGATCAACCGTTGATGGTTATTGTAAAATAAGAAAAAAAAAGATAATAGGATTAGTTTTATAAATATTACAAATATTTAATATTTATAAAAATTGACTATTTTTTACTAAAGCCCTCAATAGTTAATGAACTTAGATGGGTAGGTGATATTTGTCCATACTTTTTACAAGAGGACACAATTCTCATTTTGATAAATAAAACTAATAAACATAAATAAATTGATAAATATAATAATTCGTAACTAAAAGAAATTGAAGAAGAAATTTACTTTTTTTTTAAAAAAAGATGTGGATCCGCCTGAGCTAGACCAATATTGTTATTGTTTCAATTCGCTTGGCCAAGTCCGATTTGTATTTAATTATATAGTACATTGATAAATGTAATAATTATGAATTTGATGTGACAAATACTTTACTATACAAATTATTCCAATAATTACTCTCAGACCTATGAATTAAATTTTATATAGTAAGTTTAGAGTAATTCGTAAAAAAAGAGGAGTTCCACACTTCGCAAATCTAAGAGTAAAGAGATGTCAATATTGAAATTACTGAATTGTCAATTTATTTAACATCAAATGGGCGGAATAATAAATGGGTGACTATATTGAACAAAAACACAAAAGTCTGGGACTACATTATGTTATCAAAGTTGTTTAGGACGAAATTGATAAAAACCATTATAGTCGATGACCATTTTTTATATTAACTCTTTTCAAATTAAAATTCTAAACTTTTAATTTTAATAAACTAGTGCATTAACAATAATAAATACAAACTTATACATCATTAATCAATCCATCTAAAAACCTCCACTTCCAAATTCCAATTAAAATAATTAGTATATTTGTACTGTAATAATATAATAATCATAATAAGTGTTTGGGAAAATTATCATTTTGGTCCTTCAATTGTTTCCCAACTGTCAATGTAGTTTCTAGTTTTCAATTTTAACTAATTTGATTATCGAATTGTTTAAAATTTCGTCAATTAACTCCAAGGATAAAATTGACGAAATCACCATTTGGTCTCTCGTAAGGATTTTTTTTTTTTTTTGAATGCTACTAGCTCTATTACATTGTAGTATCTGTTCATATACTTTCTCAACCTACTGAAACACAAAGAGCTAATAACGCCTCCACCGAGGCTCGAACTCACAACTTTCCAAGTGGAAGTCCAACCCGGGTACCATTGGACAACATAGTCCTGGTGTCTCTCGTAAGGATTTAATTGACAAAATTTTAAACAATTCGATAATCAAATTAGTTGAAATTGAAAACCAAAGACTACATTGACAATTATTAAGAAACAATTGAAGGATCAAAATTGTGATTTTCCCGTGTTTCTACTTTTCATTATTTGTTTTCAAAAAATATTTTATTTTGTAATAAACTTGAACCATTAGGTTTGCCAACTAAATTTTAAATTAGTCCGTTCGAGCCATCAAACTTATTAATTTCAGACTTAGACTAATTTTTTATCATGCTAATTTTTTTTAATCCTTAATCTTAAATTTTTTTAATCTTATCG